TTCAACCAATTCGTGATTTTAACGCGACCACCAACCAACGTCATCAGAGGCGAATCCATCCTCAAATCTCAACTGGATGCACCTCACTGGTAACGACTTCTCACTGGATTTCCAGGAAACTTAGTCTCTTAGCAAGTCACTAATCCTATAAAAATGTTTTGTAATTCATTCACTTCTAATTTACTCCTTAAAAATCATGTTAATTATCTTTATGCCTATCATATGTGCATACTGACTGATAAGCAATTTTTAGAGCTGTTTAATGTCTTTAGAAATGAAGTTGTGTTTGAAAGGCAATGTGTCTTCACATTGAACAAAGTAACTGTATCTTTTTTCTTATGAATAAATGGGTATATTTCGTGAAAGCTGACGTAAACAGAGGTCAAGTTCACGTTGTTTCTTTTTTTCAATCTCAGCATTTAGCCAAAACAAAAAACAAACAAACAAAGAAATACCCTGACTAAATACATTTTAGAGATTAAACGGAGAAAAGAAAAGACAGAAATTCGTCAGAGATATTCTGTTATTGTCTTTATTCCTTCACAACAATGGCATACAACACGTTATTGTACGTTATTGAACTTCTTGGTTTCATTCGAATATTCTGATAGAAAGATTTCATTGTTTTGGTGAATAAATTCTCATAAAGGCAATAGACAGTCTGAATTTTAGCGCGTATTATCATTATTATTATTACTTTTAGTCACACAGCACAATTACAGACTTCATATAAGGCTTATGCATAAAGTACGATTAAGCTGTTCATAAGAATTTCGCCTACGTCTTCTTTACACAGCTGAAGTTTTGACAGTCCATAAGGGAAACGGATGAACTTTGTGTTTAGGAACTTTTTATTCAGCCTAATTTACTATTGTAGTTGGCCATGGTGTCAATTTTTGTTTTCCCGAATTGTTGTTTATTAAATGCATTGCAGTCATTTTTTAAAAATATTTTATTTTCAATCCTCTTTTCATATAAAAGAAAAGATGTTCAGAGAAGAGTTATTCTTTTAGGCGATATCATTCTCAAGCTATCAAATCGCATATATATATTTATATAGTAAATTATCTTAAGAACCAAAGGATTATTTGCGAAGATCTGTCACTTATTATATTATTATTGTTCTCTTGGGTTCCTAGTGGAACATAGGGCTTCAAATACACGTCTACACTTGCTTCTGTCTTCTCCTGTACTTTTCACCTGCATCCATGTTGTTCCATACTGTTCCAACTCCTCTTCACACGATCTCCTCCATGTCGCCCTTGGACGTCCCACTCGCCACTTACCTTTCAGATTCCACTCGAGGGCCTGACGCTCGACGTCACCCAGATGTCTCCTCAGCGAGTGTCCAATCCATCTCCTTTTTCTCCTGCATATTTGTTGGGCTACTGGTTCTTGTTTTGTTTGTTCCCATAGTTTCTTGTTGATGATTCTTTCCAGCCATCTGATCTTCAGTAGAGAACGAAGACAGCTGTTGATAAAGGTCTGCAACAGGCTGTTGGAAATATTCTTGGTGACCCGCCAAGTTTCTGATTCGTATAGAAGAACAGACTTGACGTTTGTATTGAAAATCCGAATTTTGTTGTTGATGCAGGCTGAGTGACGAAGATTTCCAGATTGGTTTCAGGTCAATGAATGTGTTTCTCGCCTTCCCGATTCTCGATTTGACATCGTCGTCCGTTCCTCCTGTGGTTGAGACAATGCTGCCTAGATAAGTGATTGAAGTAACCTTTTTCAAATCCCTCCCGTTGATGGTGATTGGCGCTGGATGTTGCTGTTGTTGTTGTTGTTGTTTGGTTATTTTCATAACCTCCGTCTTGTCTATGTTCACCTGGAGTCCTGTCTTTGCTGCTTCTTCGTCCACTTTGTCGGTTTTCGCTTGTAAGTCTTCGATTTTGTGTGACATCAAACATAAATCATCCACGCGCGAAATCCAGGTCTTCTAGGTTCTTCACGTCGGTCCAGGATATCCCTGTCTTCTCGTTTCCTACCGTCTGATGCATAATCCAGTCCACCACAATTAGGAATATCATGAAGATCTGTGACTAGAAGTGTGAATTTTAGATAACAAATTACATAGTATAAAATGTGTTAATTGGGTGGAAACTAGAATAAAATAGGTAAATTGAGTGAAGTCAAATGCTAGATGGAGAGAATAAAAGACTCACTGTATGCAGGACACGGCCCACAGGGAACGGTTGGATTCAGGAAAGGCAAATCATGCGCTGATCAAATTGTAACTCTACGCGTCGTCATCGAACAAAGCATAGAATGGCAGTCAAACCCCACGCTGCCTCAACTTCATCGACTTCGTAAAGGTCCTCGGCAGACAGCGTTGACCAAGAAGTAATTTGGGAACTTCTTAAACACTGCAGCGTGCAGTGCATAAGTCTTTATTAACCTCATTCAGCAGCTATATGACAGTGACACGTGTCAGGTGATTAGTGATGCAAAACTCACCGAGGCGTTTGAAGTGAATACAGGAGTAATAGAAGGTAGCTGCTTATTAGCACCGATGGTAATCTCAATTGTGGTGGCCTGGATTATGTGTCAGACTGTGTACAGGGAGTGAGGAGACAGGAATACGCTGGGCCGCCGATAAGAAGACTCTGGAATATCTGGATTTCACAGATGTTTTATCTCTAATTTCACACAAACTCGAATACTTGCAGACGAAAACCAACAAAAAGGCAGGCAGAGCAGGCAGAGATGACAGGACTGCAAGTGAATATACGGAAGACGAAGGTGATGAAGATAGACAATCAATCACTAACAGCAAAAACATCCAGTACCAATCACTATCAATGGCAGAGATTTGACAGAGGTCACCTCCTTCACTTATCAACCACAGGCGGAACGGATGAAGACGTCCAAACTGGCCACAATTGGAAAGGCAGGATACGCCTTCATTAATCTGAAACAAGTATGGAAATCTTCTGCACTCTGCGGCATAAAGAGCAAGATTCGGATTTTCAACACCAGTGACAAGTTGGTCCTTATAATGGGTCAGAAACTTACACTGCGTGTCATGAAAAGCATTTCCAACATCTAATTGCAGACTTTCATCAACAGCTGCCTTCGCTGGCTCCATACTGAGGATCAGATAGCCACCCGGCGAGAAAGAATTAACAACAGGAAACTGAGGGAGCAAACCAACCGATAGCCAATTGCCCAGCAAATATGTAGGAGAAAATGGAAATGGATCGGGTATATGTTGAGATGGACTTCGAATGACATTGCGTGCATTGTAGGCCATTGTTGGCGTGAATTCTCAGTGGGAAGCACCGAGTGGGTCGTCGCTGCGAGGGTGACACGGAGGGGATCGTGTGATGAGGGGGAGATGAGAGATTATGGGCAATCGCGGAGCCAGATGAAGAGGACAACAGATAATAGAATAAAGTGGAGACATGCTGCTGAAGCCCTATGTTCCACTCGGAACTTAAGGGAGTAATAATAAATAATACAGTTGATGGGATTGGCTAGAATTCAACTAAGATTGAACGAGAGTCAAGTTAGCGACATTATTAACTTAATAGAGGATGAAGGAAGAAAATAGTACAATTAGGAAACAAAAACACAAAAATTACGTATCCACTAATAAGATAGATCAGGTCCATTGTAGACTTAATGAGTGAACAAACTTCTCCTGTATGCAGAGTTCAGGATTTAACATGTGAATTGCCATCGCTTCTGCAGTCTGAAGAAGCTTGATTTGTGCTCTCTTAGCAAGATTCCTACATATTCTGGAGATGACTTTGTTGGTTAGCTTGGTGTCCAGAATCTATCAGGTGTTCTAGGACAAAGTTGTGGCAGGGGGATCATTTTTCTCCTTTATAAAACCTTGACTGTGGATAAGTGTTTGACGATACATACCTAGCTACACACGAGCAAGTGAATTGATAGATGCATACTGATGAGTCGGACAGTGGCAGCTTATCCTTCATTTTCATATGGATCACTGGTTTCGTGGAGAAAGTTTGTCAAAATCCAGCTGCAAAGAAGGTTATTTTCAATGAATTGGACTGGTTGTTTCTCATCATTTCTCCTATGAGTTTCCACTGAATTGTAGATTCAAGTTGGGAGATCTTTTGGGAGCCGAAATTGGTGGAGATTTTTGGTGGTTTAGATTTCATAGATTTTGTGGTGAAACGTTCTGGGTACCCATTTTCATGGAGGATTCTTTTCAGGGTGTTAAGCTGTTTAGTGTTAGGGAAGCAAATGCTACGGATTCTGTGTATCTGGTTACAGGATTTCATCATGAGCTGACATTGGTTAGAGGACCACTGGAAAACATGGGAGTACTGGACAACTGTTTCGTCCTAGTTTGCGACTCTTCAGCAATATGCACCCACTGGGGGTCGATCCCAGGACCTTCTGGTTACAAGGCGAGCTCGTATACCATTAAGCCACTGGGACCCGACCCAATGGCCTTTGAATTCTAACCTCTGCCAATTCATGATATAGCACAACGGCTAGCCAATATCTTCGGCGAGTATTTTTCCTCACATCCGACCTGCTGCACCCTACTGGTCACGACTTCCCACTCGAACTCCAAGTAACTACGTATCTGAATAGGGCCAGTCGCCAGTGAGCATCTCATTGATATTCAAGTGTTGGTTTGTAGGGATTTGGTTGATTGGTTACAGGATTTCATTGAACGGATCAGGTTTCTCTTTGTATTAAGAGTCACCCAAATAAGAAAGTTAGGTACTTATCCGTTCCAAATGGTTATTCATCACTTAACTAAGTGGGTGTATTGCGAAAATTCTGTGATGCTGTTGAGCTGTAATCTATTGATATTATTATTGATTCGATGTTATTTAAACATTAATGTTGTTCATAAGACTAATTCATTCATTCACTATAATGTATGTATAACTGTAGAACCTGATGATGAAGTTATCGAAAAGAGTATTCTATGTTTAGTAACCATTCTTTTGAAATTAAATACCTCAAACAAAAAATTTCTAATTAAATTTATTTTCTAATTTTATTTACAGGAATGTTTTTATAGCATTTTATCAAAGCCTAAAATCCATGAAGATTTCTTTAATGCCATATTCCAGAGTATCCATAATGCTTATAGTCAAGTGGATAGTTTACCGAAGAATAAATCATTTATGAAAGAAGGAGATATGTCACCAACAAATTATTCAGGTTTGTTTTAACTGAAGTATTTCGCTTGCATGCATCATACAATTATTTCCATTGAACAACTTGAAAAAAGCAAGAACAACACACTGAGCATCATTGTAACTATTTTTTGGTATCTTTCCAACCGCTTAAAATCATGAACAGTTTTAATGTCTGCTTCCTGCCGACTACCCCGATACCTATGCCAATAACTCGCAGTACACCGTGGCGGCGGGCCAGCTACCGTGATGATCACATTACAGTTTTGACTGATCGAATCCAGCCTGCACCAAACGAAGCACTAGACGCATGACATTAGTTTAAATTGTTTAATGACAATCGCTTGATTGATACGTAGCAACCTGTAGCTGTCTGGGACTTTAATTTTTCTTCAAAGATTTTAGTGCACCGATTGCATGACTGCTATTTAACAAGTAGCGAATAATCACACTACTAGGGTCTTTTGTAACTTTCAGACTCAAGTTTCTTAAAATATGTTTATATATATGGTGACAAATCCTTCTTTCGTTTCTTTTGATGTATGTGCTTTGGTATGTATGTGTAAACTGATTTATGCAATTGCAAGTAACATAAAATGTGGGGTTGGCAAAATTAGATTATTTCAGTGAACATTGAATTCACTAAATTGTGGCTCTCAGTGGTTCTCTGCCCGATATCAGCTCATGATCAGACTTGAGACCTATCGAATCCCTTCGGAAACTAACACTTCAAAATAATCCGGATACTCGCTAGTGATTTGTTACAGGACGAGGTTGTCTGGAGTTCTCGGCATAAGTCATTACCAGTGGAGTCAACCTGGTCAGGAGAGAGGAATAATGCTCCCCAATGACACTGGCCGATAGTGCGGCTAAAATTATTGATTTGACAGAAGTAATAATTCATGAGCTGTTGAATTCCGTCCAAGTGGCTAAGCTATCAGGAGACAGGTTTCATAACCTGAAGATCCTGAGTTCGATTATTGGTTACGTCATTTGTGTGTGTTGCTGAAAAGTTCCAAGGGAGGACGAAGTACATACCCAGTACTCTGTGGTTTCCGATGGTTCCCTGACAGATATTAGGCAGAATTGAAGTATAATTGGAAATGGATGTTTTCTTCCCCCTGAGGTTAATCAGCTGCCTGCCAGGCTTGTATTCAGTGTGAACGATCGAATCAAAGAAGCTGAAACGATCTATCAGTTTCAAAGGGTGAATTCGGTTCCTTTAGTCAACCCTAATCTTAATCTTTCCCTAATTAATCTTACTGTATCCTTTACCTAACCCTAACCCGCCGTAATCTAACCTTAGTTACATCGAATCTTCCTGTAACTTAACATCAACTTAACTTTGACCTGTTCCTACCTGAACCCAAAGATTAATTTTTCCTTAAATTAACCAGATATATTAAAGAATTGGTTTGTAGATATTATTTTTCTTTCAGATTAAACCATGGAGAACCATTAAAAACCAAGGGGAACTGGACAGATGTTTCATCCTGGTTTGGGACTCATCATTAGTGCGCACCGACCACCAGGTTTCCAAACCAGGACCTTCCGGTTACAAGGTGGGCTAACTAGTATACTGTTCAGCCATTGGGATCCGATTCAATGAACAGCACATGAATTCTAACTTCTACCAATTCGTGATTTTAGCGCAACCACCAACTAGTGGGTGCGCAGTGCCGATAAATCCCAATCTAGTATGAAACATCTGTCCAGGACTCCTTGGTTCTCAATGGTTCTCTAACTAATCTCAATCTGTGGTCTAACCTAAACCAGATATCCTGTTTGGTATTCTCATAAGAATATAATTTCTTTCACCTGATTTCATTAACTTGCTGTGATGTGCATTCATTCCACTGGATCACTATTCTTCAACTTGGTCCTTTGCATATTGAATGAACTACTCTTAGATATTGAGTGATCATTGTTAAATATGTATTGAATCAGGGCACTATTCATTGAACTAAAGTATAAGGAGGTAGTTTTTGAAAATTTCTATTCATCATTCTGTTTGTTTTTTCTTCCGAATTTATCTTCATATTAGATGTAAAAGTCTCAGAGTTCCCTGGAAACTTATCATATTTTTTCAAGACATTAAATGTTTGTAACTATACACATAATGAAATATTCGGTTTACAGAAATTAATTTTATTTATTTATAGTTTATTCCTTAACGTTCTCAGTGGAACATAGGGTTTCAAGCTCGCGCTTTAAATTTTTGATAGCAGTGGTGTTTATTTTTGCTGAATGGGGTTGCTACTCTCATGTCCAACCCTCCCCATTTACCAATCGTATTACTGACTTAGCGAGGTGATGGGGTACGTCGGCCGCTGATTGAACCCTGGACCACATGTGTGGTTGGTGAGCATTCTACCGCTGTGCCACCAACGCACAAATAATTTTCACAAATTTCTAAAAGTAGCTGCGATCTTCAAGTAATGTCATTTAAAGAATGGACCACAAAATTCCAAGAGTAAGAGCAAAGAATAGATATCAACGCTGAATAACTTATAACCAACCAATCATACCGTTTAACATTACAAAAAGATGCCTTTCATAGTTGTCGTCGTCGTAACTTTCGCCTTGATTTAGGGTTAGGCTTACGGTTAAGGTTATTGTAGGATTAGGGTTAGAATAGGGTATTGGTAGGTCTAGAGTAGGGTTAGGGTCGGGATAAAGTTAGGGTGGAACTTGTAATGAAATTAATCAACAGCGTACATTTGAAGTGTTGAGAGTTGTGACTATCATTATCAGGATATATTGATCATATAGTGAATAATTCATCACGAATAGTGAATTCTAAAACTGGTACATATTCAAGTTCTATGAAAGGATTTCGGGCATTTAAAAAAAGGATTAGAATGATGTATGTCTTTAAGTAGTCTTATTAAAAAAAATGGAACGTGTACTTACAGCATATTATAGGCAAATGCACTATAGGATTCCTGTAAATATACTTTTTGCACTAAAATGCCACATTTCGCGTAGAAGAATATGATTGGTTAGTCCAGAGTCACTTGACTGTGGGCACTATTCTTTATTGTTGCCATTCCAAGTATTAACTTTTTATCATCGGACTAAAATCTTATGTAAAGGTTCAAGCCCCAAAAACACAGAGTCTAATAGTTGACATCATGAAAGAAAACTGCTGTGCGTGCATTTCTATGTCCTTTTAACAATATTTCAAATGGCATCAATCTAAAGTTTGTTCACGAAGAGACCTTCATTTAGAGGACCACAGAAAACCAGTGATTAGTGGACACCTTCTTGATCTAGATTGGGACTCTTCATCAGTATGTATTCAAGACACCATCAGGGATAGAATTTAAAGGTAACAACAACTGATGAGCCAGTTAATTCCATACCAGTAACTGAAAGGTCAACTGGCTCGTCTTGTAACTTGAAGGTTCTGAGTTCCATCCTTGGTGAGGTCGTGGGTGTGGGTACTACCGAGGATTTCGCAACTAGGACGAAGAAACATATATACAGTGCTTCTTGATTTTCAATGGTTCTCCAACTTACATCACTTTAGAATCATACTTGAATTAAATCGAATCCTTGCAAACGAACACTTTAAGAAGACTTCAGTTTAGTTAGTTAGTTATTGTAAAGTATAATTTCATGTCTCAGTGAATCTAACATAAAATATTAAAGTGTTCATCATTTTTATTATAAAAGTTTTTCTTAATATTTAGGTTATTCATCTCAACTACCATCTGGTAAATTTGTAACAACTTTAAAAACGCTGACATTTTTGCAAACTCTATGCAACCGAAGCAATATACGACTACAGGTAATTATATAGTTGTTTTCGTTTACGTGGTTGTTTTTGTCTAAAGCTGATATAATAGTTGTTTTTTACATAACTTTGCTCGGTATAACTATCTGACTGGTTTCAACATAGAACTTTGCACAGATATGCAGCAGTTTGAGTAGGCACACTCCACTCCATGTAGCATACAAATCAAGAGAAGAGAGTAAAGCAAAATTCAAAAGAGATATAATAAAAAGAGATAAGACGCAAGGAAAATAGCAATATGGAAGAACAATACAGTTTTATTGGATATGACAAATGACATTGAGTGAATGTATCTGCACCAGACACTGAGAACAATTTTGAGCCATATCACCAATTATCTCCAGCCATTGGTGTTCACCGTCTCGAGGACCCCAACGAGGAGGTCTACACCTGGCGACTGACTTAAACTAACTGTTGTGGATTTTATTGACCGATGAAGTCATGTTTTAGTTTGACCACCACTAGCTCTTTTCCAACCCGATCAGTTCTATGTCGGTTCACATTTCCCATCTATGCAGACGATGACTACGAAGGCACGCATAATATATGTCCTATAACTGTCTCAATCGATGTAGCTTCACAGCGTTGTCCCCTGGTTTTCCCTCCTTACCTCCTTACACCTAACCTCAATATCACCTGATACGGGAGAAAGGACGCAGATACCTATAATCAAAGACAGCTAGCCAGGCTTTTCATGTGTTCTACTTCCAATAATCATGTCTCGCAGACATAAAGGAGTAGGATGGAGCGAAATATTGAGCAGTACACACATCCTTTCATCGACAGCCAGCCATATATCACGTTTACGCCAGAGGTGTAACAGGGCAAATACCAAGTGATCCTTCTGTATCCGTGCTGAAATTTTGTCAGCGGTTGACCCGCTGGCGTTGGCTGATGCAACTCCCCAAATTAAGTGAAGTGGTCAACACGCTCTTGCACTTCACTCACTCCCTATCAATGTATCCCAGTCCTGTAGCATCATCTTTCATCTGACAAGAGTAAATTACATGCCGAACATTCGGAGATTGCTGCTCAAGGTGTTCAGAAGACTCTCTCGGCATAGTCACTATTATGCTGAAAAGGTTCGTATTGTTCAAGGAAGTTCAAATATTAAAACTTTAATTGATTTCAATTAGAATTTGCCTTAGCCTTATTCTTTCCCACCAGTGTGGATTATATATTCTACCTGGTAATTCATTCCACTATTTCGAGCATATATGTATATATATACTTATATTTATATAAGATTTCATCGGAATCCATTTAAGCACGGCATTTCGTTTGGTTAGTAACTGCGACAATCCCCTGCCAAACAAACTTAAACTAACAAATAGGCAGGGGATTAAGTAAGGTGATGAAGACACCTGGAAACCAACAACAACAACAACCAATTACCCTCATCACCTATCTCAATTACCTAAACGAGAAACAGCATTATTTCAGCTATATGTGGACAAACGGTGATGTCAAGGTTAACCGTGCATTAGAAAAAGCAAGAAAAGCTTTCATTTATCTGAAATCCGTATAGAAATCCACTGCACTCTGCTGACTTAGTGTCTGCGTCACCAGAGGCATTTCGAGCACACTAATGCACGTTTTTATCAGTGGCTGCCTTTACCAGCTGTTGGCTGGCCAAATAGGATAAGCTACAAGAAGCTCTGACAACGAATCACCCAGCAACTTATAGCCCAACAGATATGCCAAAGGAAATGGAGATAGGTCGGCAAACAATGAGGAGACTCTTGAGTGGGACATCGCACAATTTAGGCCTTATAGTGAAACCCGAATGATAAAGAAAAGTTAGGCGTGAGTCCAAACTCGACACGGAGGAGACACAAGACCATGGGCAATCGTACAGACAGCTAACAAGGTTCTTTCCATTGTTATTCCAGCGTTTATATCTCCATCAACTCCTGTAAATAGATTTGTACATAACAGTGGGTATGAATTTGATTTCCGGCGTCCACATAGATATCACTAATAGATTGTCTACGTATTGGGATGGCTTAAATCGGCCGGCAGTTTATCTCTTTTAGCTAGATTCAAGGAAACGGGCTTATTTCACCCTCTTATAGTAAATATCACCCCTTCTGTCCTATAACGACTTTGAATTAATTTCTAACTCAGAGAATATTCTTAAGGGAAACACTTTCAATGAAACAGCTAAGAAACAAAGTGATCATTAGGTCAGTAACTTTCTGGAATGAAGTTCGGTGTAATCAATCGAGCAGTGTTCACAATTAAAATTTATTAAAGCACCAGCACTAATGGACTGACTACTGACTAAATCTCAGCACAGATAGAGAAGGTACTTCACCTCTGGAGTATAAGTAATATCTAGCATCCATCAATGGACATGTGTACCGCACAACAGTTCACCCTGTCCTCGCTCATATCTGTGAGACATGGTGATTGAAAGTGAAAGATGTGAAAAGGATAGTTGCCTGTGATCAAAGATGTTTGCTTTGTATCGCCTGTGCTAAGCGGTAAAATATACAGTAGGAAATATTGAGGGTAAGTACAGAGCACTAGGTAAGTAGGAGAAGTCATTCAATGAAGATATGAAGTTACATCAGTTGTGATGGCTAGCGCACGTGTAACGTATGTTAAGCCACCACCTCCCTGAATAAGCAATATAACCTGACATAGGGTTCGGTTGGAAAAGAGTTGTGTGTGGTAAAAAAAACTGATATCAGTCCACCAAGTCTTTGATAGTTGTTTTGAGCCAGTCGCGTAAGACGACGGGAGGAAGGGAAGAGCGCCTAGTTGAGGTCTTCGATAGTCCAAGAACCAATGGTTGGAAACTATTAGTGATTTGGTTCAAAATCGTTCTCGGCTGCTCATATGCATTCACTCGCTTTAATCTTCCATAATCCATCAAGTTATCGTGTTCCTCCACGTTAATGCTTTTTTGTTTTATGCATTTCTGTTCACTAAAGTTATCTTGACTTTCTTTTTTCTGTCTTTTGTCTACGTTTGCGTGTTACATGGATTGTGGTAAGTTTAACTCTTGCAATTCTGTACAGATAGAACTCTAAGTTGAAACTCAATCACTCAGTCAGTCTGTATGCTACCATTAATTTCAATTAATTCAATGAACTCTGATTCATGGAATTAATGTTCCTAAGAAATTGCTTTCAGGTGACCATAAGTTTTTGGGTATTGTGGCTTTCGCTAAGCTGGATGGCTTAAGATTGCGAAGCTTACATAGTCATTCTAGACACCTTCAAAGTGTGACACAATTCTATCTATAAGACAATCTAATTGTTTTTAAAATGAGAGTTATATCCCCCGTTAGGTTCAAGTTGTTTTTATTCAAGTCTAAAATTTTCGTTTCAAAGTTGATAGTCGCTGGAAATGAAGAATATTCGATAATTATAACAGCAGTGCGCCGTTTCAAATTCCTTTGCGTTCTGAATGGAGTATAGTACTTCAAGCTTGAGCTTTAAAGTATCTGTAGAGGTCGTTTTTTGTTAGGTGAGGTTGCTAGCCTCACGTCCAACCTACCGTCTTTAATGGAATAACTATAGGCTGGGTGAAGTGTGGTAGTAAATAGGCTGAGAATGCAACCCGGACCACGTGGTTGATTGGCGAATATTCTACCAGTGAACCACCAATTTACAGTTTGACCATTACGTCAACAGACAACGTTTTATTGAAAAATGTGTTTGCGTATGTTACCGATATGTGAATAAAGAGTTTCTTTGAATTGAGTTTATTAAGCTCAGTCTTATATCCGTGTCTTCTTAGGAATAAAATATGTAAAACGTGCAGCCAACAAGTTGGGTTAAATTTTTCTTAGTATAGTATATTCGCTATTAGTGGCTAATAATGATCAGGTTTGTTCACGGACTGATATCATTTAGAGAACTGTTGAAAACTTGGGAGTAGTGCGACGATACCTCGTCCTTGTCTGAGGCTCTTCAGCAGTATGCATCCATAACTGGCGACCTTACGGTTACAAATCGAGCTGTTTGATCAATCAGTCACTGGAGAGAAATTCCACGTTTTATGGATTGTTACTTCTTTACATTCGTGCGTCGGTGGCCACCAGCTTGAAGCCCTATGTTCCACTACGGAACGTGAAGGAAAAAAAAACTTTACATTCGCGATTTTATGACTTCGGCTGGCCGTGGCGCTAAAATGTCAGTGAGAAACACACGGAAAGCCGGGTAGTTGCGCAGAGCTGAGTTTGGTCCACGGTGGAATCATGGATATAGACTGCTGAAAAGTTGGAAAGTAGGAGGAGACAGCTGTCCAGTATATTATTATTATTAGTCTCTTGGGTTCCAAGTGGAACATAGGGCTTCAACAACACATCTCCACTTTCTTCTATCCTCTGCTGTCCTCTTCACCCGCGTCCACGATTACACATAATCTCTCATCTCCTCCTCTTCACCATACCACCTCCTTCATGTCACTATCGGACAACCCACTCGTCGCTTCCCATTGGGATTCCACTCGAGCGATGGCCTGCATTGAGCGCGATGTCATTTGACCCTTGCCCTATCCATCTTCGTTTTCTCCTACATATTTGTTAAGCAATAGGCTATTGGTCCAGTACTTTCTGGCTTTCAATGGTTCTCTAACTGATATCAAGCCGTGACTAAACTTGGAACCAGTCAAAGACCTAACAAACTAACACTAAAAAGTGACGTTATCCAAAGTGATTTCCCTTTCCTTTAACTTCATTCTGTTTATCTTATTATCTTGACACTAGGAACTATTGCGTATACAACCGCATAATGTGACAACATTCAATCTCATCGAAGAAATTAAATCATTATTTCTCAATCTATGGAAAACTAATGACAATTTTATTGTTTCTGCTATGAATACTTCAACTGCCAGCACTAATCACAATAATAATCAAATTAATGACAATAATGGTCACTGTCATGATGCAAGTAATAAAACTGCCCATGAAGGACAACTCAAAGTTAATGGTATAACAAAAGTTTCAAGGCTACAGAATCTTGCTGAAAAGAGGAGAATGAAACGGTTGTCTATAAACACTGGAATTTCGTTGTCTAATCAAAATCAACAATCTCCAAAAGTCCACACTGATAGTTATAATAATTGTGATTCAACAGTGTATTCATCATCCTACACTGAGATGATATTACTTATCTTGACGTGTTTAATTCAATTCTGTCAAGGTCCATGTATCAATAATCAGTATGATATTGCCTTTGGTAGTCCAAATATTTTAAATGAGCTAGTGAATTTAATATCGGATACACCAGTATGGATGATAAATGATAAATTTAATGAGATAAGATTTCAGCTGGCTAAAATCAGCGTAAGTTGTTTTACATTATATTTTTTAATTATAATTTTGATCAGAAGCCGTTTTAATGTTGCTTTTTTTCACTTCAAAAGGTGTATTAAAGTGTATTTTACCAAACGTAGTGAATAATTTATAGTTTTGAAGAAAATTTGAGCACTGGGTTTATAATATTGGTTCCATTGTGGATAAGATTTTATTTTGACCACACTTCGAGGACAATTTATTGCCAATCATAATCATATCATGGCGCTACTCACACAACCTTCTTGCTTCATGAGTAAAAATCCATGATTAGGCATTTGAATGAAATCAATATAAGATAAAGTACATTCGGAAATAATATTAGTGTTATCAATCAAATACAGTCAGATGTGAAATAAGATGTTTTATACTAAAACAAATAAGTAACTTGTTAGAATGTTATAATGCGAATTGAATACATTTTAACATTATTTATTATCCTCTGATTTGACTGGTGGTAATAATATCTTCCATATCTCTGGTATTTGCGTTGAGTCACTTCTGCTGCATGTGTTGTGTTGCGTGTACACTCGATGAACCAGGCAGGATTTAGTAATCAATCACTCTCTGTTTCCACCTACCTATATTACTTTTTAGAATTTTGACTCTGTCCCACCCACTCTATTGTGTGGTTGTGTGTTAATGCATTCATGAAGTGCGATTGCTGAGTTTTTCTCTAAATTACTTATCTTCGTGGGATCAATTATTCTAACCTTAGCTAAATTCTTATGCTTTTGTAATCTCACTACTCCTGATCTACTAGTTTGACCTATGTAGTTGACTTAACTCACAGTAATTGCAAAGAATTTTGTAAATATTACTGTACAACACTGTATGACTCATCAAAATGAAATCTTATCCATAATGGGGTTATACTCTACCACAATGCCCAAGGTTTTTACTTATATTTAGAATGCTGATTATTATAAACGTTTTTGTACACTCGAGGACATCAGAAGAGTACTCAATAAATGTAACATCAGAGTTTTTGTCAAAATATCAGACGTAGTAAAAAGCATTTCTTCTCAAGTGAAAGATCGAATTCTGAAGGATTTATATGTCTAACCTTGTCTATAAAATGAAATGCCTAGAATGGAATGCCATTGGCCAAACGTCACGAGAAATCGTGATGTGGAGAAATGTACACAATAGGAACTGTATTTAAATACCGAAGAATTCAAAGGAACTCGAAAAATTTGAAAAATAGTTCGTCGTAGGTCTACGTGTTATATAATCAGGTCACAAAATTGATTCTGACAATGCTGAAATGATCCAAAAAAGTTCAGAAATCCCAAAGAATATCTGATATCAGAAACACATTATTTTAAGTGAACTCAAAATTTTCTCAATAGGAATGATAAATTAGGACAGAATTTAACCTGGTTTCAACATCCTCTCTGCATGAATTGACAAAATAAGTACAAATATGATAAGCAATTTCATTATGTAAACAAATCCTTTCTTTGTAATTTCGTACACTAATCAAATCCAGGAATCAGCACACTTAACAACGTAAAAACTACATAATGCTGAAGTACTTTGATAAAGTTACTGTATGCAGGCCGAGATTTTATAATTTCTGGTTTAAGATTACTTCGGTTGTTAAGCCTGTTAGCAGAAGTAAATAGGGCAACGTAACTAAAAAGTCATTGTCGTTGTTACTATATGGTTGCAGGCAGTCGGCGGGAAGCTATGCTTCACCTGGTTTTCTTGCCTGTCGGCACTCACCAGACAGCAAGGAATATCTGCAGTATTGCGGGAAATCATGTCCCTTCTGAGATTCAAATCCGTCTCACCCAGTGTTGCAGTCAGAGACTTTACTACTGAGGTATTAGACCTCGCGATTAGCCTCCTGTAGGACTGCACTAGATACTTTGATTAGGCGCTAAGTAGTGTCATGTGTCTAGTCCTTTGTTCAGTGCAGACTGAATTCCATCAGTCAAGTATCCAATAAAGTCCTATAAGGGATAAGTCGCGAGCCCAAATAGCTGATTACTAACAGCCCTTACTGCGGCTCTGGCTGACGCATGTGAGAATCTCAGGGCGGAAATGAGTTCCTTCAAGATTTCACATGCGCTTTGCTTACTGGTGAGTGCCAACAAGCACAAAACCTATGTCAAGCTGGGCTTCCTTCCAACTTCCTCGAAACAACTAATATCAACAAGTAACAGTGCAGGCCATTGTGATGGTGAGTCGCCTAGTACGGTGGTCACATCGCAAACTTGACTGATAGAATTCAGTCTGCAGTAAACAAAGAACATTAGTTGGTGTCCAATCAAAGTCAAGCATCGTCTTGTTTTTCATTCACTGAGAAATATAGAATCTTTTATAAAATAAGATGTATACAGATTTCCTTATAGGTTAATTATAAGTTGCTTTGTTTACTGATTTCTCACTACAAAGTAGATTAATATTGCCTGCTATCATTCATTCAACTTAACATACAGTTCAATCAACAAAATAATCTTGTTCACATTAAATGGCGTAGTGAAGAACACTCGTAGAGATTGAAGTAGGAGGTTCTATTATAATTACTAATGTGAGCCTAAAATTTCATTCAAAACACTATATGAAATTCTGAAGTTCCAAAAAATTCCCTTCCTATGCAATACAAATGAAACTCTTGATTAAGTAATCATTTACATAATAAAAAGAAGCAAAATTATAGTAAGAATGATACTCTGGCCATGATAGGGTGAGACATTTCAAGCAGACACCTTACATATCACATTCTCCAGCAGACAGTTAATCCAGCCTAACATTAAGGATAAGATACCGCTTTTGGCTGAGTCGGTGTATATTTATTAGTTCACCTGCTCGTCTGGAGAATAGTATGTCGGCCTTAGGCAACGCGAATTCTACAAACGCATTCTGAAACATTGTCTAGCTTGTCTAGCCAGAGGAGTAAAGAAGAATATTTGCAGGTCGATCCTCGAACTCCTTGACAACTCTGGACATTGAGCATGAATGCTTCACGGTGCTACACAGAGTCCCTCAATATCGTACGAAAGGACTTCGCGTACGCCATCTGTACATAGCTGAATCATTAGCTATTCGAGATCTCAAATCGAACCTCTTCCTTCAGAAGCGCCACATAAATTAATTATCTGTTAGGATGTCATTGGTGCAAGATAGACGAAATCGTAAAAGTACTGACTGACAGCGCAATTATAGAAAACAGACACCACTACCTACTGAGGATTTTAAACCACATTAGAAACAAGACAAGCTTATAGATTGCATCACTATACACAAAGAGAATAACACAGGAATATAAACATTTTGTAGGGTTGATTGAAAATACCTATTAGAAATTTCCAAATACAGATCTGCGAACAAAGAATATTCTACTCGATAAAAAACGTCACCATGTTCTACAGTTATATGTCCGCTATAATTAAACAATTATTATTACTGATAATATTATTTTTCTAAATGACAGTGAATCAGTAAAATCGATAGATTGTCATTCTAAAGTATCTATAGGTGGCAAAATACATCAATATAATACTAAATTAAGAAAAATATTACAAAGTTTATGAACTTGTGGGTTTTATAACATGCCAATAGTGGTACACACACAGCTCCGGTTGTTTTGAGGGAATTCCAACCACCTCTGATGTTTAGAGTTTTCGGTACCTAGGTAGATAATAGAAAAGGATTCTTCAGTGCTAACTTTATGGCCTATTTGGACCAGGTGATCTAATATCTAATTGTTATTATTTTTAATTACACCTCTATTTAGCCACACTGGTAGGTGTTCTGAAGTACGAAAAACTAAGTTCCTAATAAATTTTCTCATGGTTAATCTTTAATTAGATTTTAGTTTGTCTCCTGTATCATAGTTATTATTCTCATAGTAATTTAAATTTTTACTCCGTCTATGTCTCTAAATAACTATTCTTGTGCGTATATAAACGTTTCTGTTTTATTTATCTCAGTCCTAACAATAATGTTAGTTAAATAACTGCCTTTTCTACTGCGCATTATAAACACAAATGTACAGGTTGAAAAGAAAAGAAAATATTTCTTCGCCGAATAAATTAACGTATTACACTGTATTTTTCAGTTTCCACGCAAGTATCTGTGTGGACGCAAATACATGAATGATTGAGCTTTGAAGATGAGGATGGAATTATAGAGGCACAGTTCACCTGAAAGGCAGCTGAATAATCCAGTCTTGAAAAGTATAGACAACCATCCTCACGACAGAAATGTACCATACTACTAATATTTAATTAGTTTGAGGTATTTTATTTAGAAACCCAAATAGCCGTGTTTTGAGATCTACATCAAAAAGTTTAAAACAGTTTGTAATAACGGAGAAGACTTTTAGCTTATAATGATAGTGGACAAAACAATATGGTTTTTGTTTTGATTGCACGCTAGTCAGTAAATAGTACAATGTGTCTAGTCCTTTCTTTGGTGCAGTCTGAATTCTATCAGTCAAGTTTGCGGAAGCAAAATCCAATACAGTCCTACAGGATGTCAATCGCGAGCCCGAATAGCTCAGTGGTAACGTCTGTGATAGCAGCACTTAGTGACACGAGCTCAAATCTTAGAAGGGAAACGAGTTCCTCCAGGGTTGCAGATACGCTTTGCTGACTGGTGAGTGCCAACTAGCACGAAACCTAGGTGAAGCAAGGCTTCCTGCCGATTGCCTTCAACAATCTAATACTAAAAAAATATGTTCTTTAATCATTAGCATTTTATTTGTGTTCTTAAGTTCATCAGATTTATTAGTCTCAATGAAATTAGTACTGGAGATGTTACACAACTTGATATGATTATGAGCAATAGTTTGTGCTCGAAACGTCATCAGTAAATATTACTGTATAACACTGTGAGACTCTATCAAAATAAAAATTTACCCATAATGGAATGTTACACATCTAGTGATGAGATATCGGCAATCAAATAATTAGCCTCAAAGGAACATTTAAACAACTTCAAATTGATTTACTTCACTGATGTTTTCACACTATCTTTCTGTATACATGGATAAGGGTGAAATCTTTTATCAACAATGTATTCCACATAGCGAATGAGCCAGGATTTTCTCTGTATTACGCTAGTTAATTTGATGGGTTCACTGGTTTTGAATGAGTACCCCAGTGTCAATCAGATTTTTGGCGATTACATTTACAAGAGCGATTTTACCTTTCGTATGAAGATTATTAGGGTATTTCTTAGAAAATCTAGTAGTTGATCTCCCCTCAGTCATGCATATGTGCTTGCCACTGCAAGTGCATGTGAGTCAGTAAATACAGTTGAAGTTCACATGACCAAGATACTTATCAAATTTGGACCGTATTAGCGAGAATTTCGCATTATAAATCATGTATTTATTATTATTGTTTCCTTTAGTTCCTAGATGAACATAGGGCTTCATCTACACGTCTACTTTGTGTTCGGTTCTCTGCAAACATTTTCACCTGGCTCCACGTCTGCCCACATGCTTTCATCTTCTCTTCACATCAAATCCTCCATGTCACCCCACCCTTACACTGACGGCCAACTCGCCGCTTCCTATTCGAGTTCCACTCGAGCTATGGTCTGGTGTGTGATGTCACTCACTTGATGGTTTGTTTTCTCAGAGTATGACCAATCCACCTCCATTTCTTCCTGCATATTTGTTGTGCAATTGGTTCCTGCTGGGTTGGTTAGCTCTCAGAGATCCCTCATTATTGTTGGTCTTATCTGGTCATCTGATCTTGAATGGTATTGCGCGAAGACAGTTGTTGATAAAAGTGTATAGTTTGTTCGAAGTACCCTTCGTGACGCAGCGCCAAGTCTCTGATCCATGCGTATAGTAGCACTGACTTCACATTGCAGCTGAAAATCCGGATCTTATTTTTCATGCTGAGTAGTGCTGTCGACCTCCGCACAATAAATCATGTATACTTATTCAAATTTATCAGGTGAACGTTTCCATGGGTCAAGGGTGGAATACTCACTAACCACACCATACATGGTCCGGAGTTTGATCCTAACCCGTCACATTCTGTAACCTCGCCTAACCTGTAGTTATTTCGGTAAAGAGGTAAGGTTAGGCTTGAGGCTAGTAACCTCACTTCACAAAAATAAAATCACTGCTATCAAAACTTCAAGGCTCTAGCTTGAAGCCCTATGTTCCATTCAGAAATAAAAAGAATAAAAAAGTAAATAAAATCAAAGGAACTAGTTGTATGAAATGATTTTTCCCTACACATGGCTAGCCGAAATCATTTATATCATATTGTGTAATTGCACTACATTTTTCAGATAAATTTACCAGTTTTCGTGTATCTAATTTTTTGAAATTATTACTTTTATCATTATTTAGCTTTCATCCATAAAATTACTGCTAGCTGTTTTGGAGGGACGTAATGGAGATAATGTCTTTCAACGACTATTAGATCTTTGGCCAATCGATAAACTGGTATGTTTTCACAAATTGAGAATTTATTATCAAGTTTACAGGGCAGTTTTTCAAGTTTTTTTGTTCATGTCTATGTTTACTCTTAGTAAAATAAAAGAACATTCTTAAGTAGATATCATTTTATTCACTAAATTCGGGAGAGACTTTATTGAGAATTGAAGTTGCTTTCTGAACTCGCAGTATCTAGAAATAATATGGCATCGGATTTTGACTAATCAGCTGAGTGCTGAAGTGTTCTTTTCGTGATTTAACATTCTTCGGGTTTGGTAAGTAAACACTGTTCATGGGTAGGTATCCAAGATTGTCTGTAAGTCTTCGTGTCGCCTTCACATGATCTCCCTCGTATCGCCCAAGGACTCAAGCCCAACTCATCTTTTCACATTTGAGTTCCGCACGAGGGCTGGAGTGATACATTGTGTCATTTAACAGTCTTCCCAGACTATTTCCATTCCATCTGCATTCCCATATGCATATTTGTTGGGCGACAGTTGTTTGTGGATTTTTTTATCAATGTCCCTTGTTGCTTATCCTTTCTGACTGGTCATCGAATATTCCGTTTCGAGACGATGAAGGGTGGTTTTTAGTGAAAGTCTTCAGTAGTCCGTTTGAATTTTATTTGGTGACGCAAGCAAAAGTCTCTGAACTACATAGAAACACTAGCTTGACATTAGCATTGATTGGTTTGACTTCATAGTTACCAAAACAGGTGGGGAAAAATTATCTAATCCTCGAATTCGGAGACGGATCCATGTGATTTGTATTTCTTTATGATTTGATCTACAGGAATAGCTGGACTGAAATATGAATAAAAGTAGACTACAATTAGCCTAAATTATCTCTACTTCATAAGTCAAACATTTTATGCTTACTAAAGAATATGCTCAAATATTCTCCGTGGTAAAATCTCACTAGATAAATCTTTCAAATATAAACATATATATAACCATCATAATGCTATCATAAGCCCATATTTACAGTTATAGCAAAATGTATTTAGCTTTTCTGAGTCTATCAAGATGCTCTTATCTTCTTCTTCAAAATATCGGAATATCTTATACTTGATTCGCCAGGGAAAACTGACCGTAGTCCAAGTCCTATGCATTTGAATGAGCCACGTTTTTATCTTATAAGCATGGATTTAAATAAGTAGGTAGCATTCAGGATAAGAAGCAAGATTCGACTTTTCAACACTGATGTTAAGGCTGCACTTCTGAATGGGTCAGACACTTGGCGCAGGTGTCACACAAAAAGTTCTTCTAACAGACTACAATAGACTTTCATCAGTAGCTGCCTTCACCCCATACTGAAGATAAGATGATCGCCATAAGAGAAAAGCAGCAAGAAACTTTGGTGGTGAACAAACAAAAACCCTTTCGCTGAAAAAACATACAGAAAGAAATGGAGATGGATTAGACCCTTGAGTAAAATCTCTTGCCAAGCCACTCCTCGAGTGGGATCCCAGTGGAGAGTGAAGATTTGGATGTGTGTCTGTAAGTGACATGGATGAGATACTGAGAGGAGGAAGCGAAATCTTGTGCTCAATCTTGGGGCCAGCTTAGGAGGCTTCATTTGGTAATTAACTCAAAATTCAATAATCTGCTAACTTTAAAAATAAATTTGAGTAGAGAACTAACTCTTTTCTCCTTTAAAATTTTATTTTTAGATAAATGCCATTCGAAATTATCATATTTTATCCCAGAATCCAAATATTTCTTCGACAGACGCAGAAGAAGTATTGCGTCAATGTGGACATTCATTATTCATCTTGACACAATATGTAAGTGATAAAAGGTGTCTATTTTTTTGACGGAAAATCTCCATTCTCTTTCAACGTGACTCCAAGTATGAGGTAGATGTTTTCTAGAAATAAAAATAAATTGAAGCATAGAGTGCCTATTTATTTTGAAAGTACTTTTTAGCCTATTTGAAATACAGAAGTAAAGGTAGAAAACTATTACTATGAATGTAGTCACGTAGAAATGTTGTCTCTTCTAAATATTTCCAAGTATTGGTTTTGTTTGATTGTTTGGAGGATTTCGTAGTGATGTCACATTAGATGGAAAACCATAGGAAAACCAGCACGAAGTACTGGACAGCCGTTTCGTCCTAGTTGTGGGACTTTTCAACAGTACACACCCAAGGTGCCCAGGTTTCATAATAGTTCTCCAAATGATGTCAGCTCATGATGAATCTCCCAACCAATCAAACAAAATCCCTATAAAACCAATACCTGAAAATTAGTCTGATGATCCCTAGAGACTGGCACCATTCAGGCAGTAACCTACGGTACTAGTGGGAAGTCATGACCAATAGGGTACGGGAGGTCACAGGTGAGGACGCTCACTCATCGAAGAAGACATTGCGAAGTCGTTGCGCTACGTCATGAATTAGCAGAAGTTAGAATTCATGGATTGGCCGTTAGATCGAGTCTCAGTGGCTTAATGGCCTACGACCTCTCTCGCCTTGTAACCCAAATGTCTAGGGTTCGAACCTTAAAACTGAAATCTGTTTCTCCACTTACACAATCATAACAGTGATCATCAGCCTGTAAACGTAAATATTTTCTTATAGACGCCGTCTATATTAATCTTTTCAAGTGTTGGTTTGTAATGATTTCATTGATTTCAAGAAACCAAGGAATACTAGACAGCTTTTTCATTCCTTTTTACGAGAACCTAGCCTTACACACTCATGAATCCGTTAAGGATCAAACCTAGGACTTTCAAGGTACAAGGCAAATCTGTTGAATTTATCCCTTAGCCGCTGGAACAGAATCCGTGAGTCTACCAATTCCAGCTCCTATCAATTCGCAATTGCCAATGATGGACGTTGAAGGTATCTACATGTTTTTTACCGACATGTCCCCTTTCAAAGTAACTTGAAATAGACAGTGGGAAGGGAAATTAAGTACAGAGCGATTGCTGCTAGTCGGCTAAGTGTATGAGAGGGGATAGGTCAGATGATAGAAAAGAATAGACAGATGGAGATATTTCGATTGTAGGTGGGGTCATAGGTAAGCATGGATGAAGAGTCCCGAACTAGGACGAGACGGCAGTCCAGTACTCCCTGATTTTCAAGGGTTCTCTAACTAAAGTCAGACGCTGATCATACAATAACCTTCGTTTAACTCAATTCTAACTTGATAATTGTAAACATGTAAATATATTTTTTTCAATGTATTCTGTTATTACTGCTCAATGCTTTTTTGTTTTCTTTCTTTTCGATAAACAAGTTACATAGAAACTTTCCTGTAATTCTAAAACATATGAAAATCTCCGATACAACTATTCCTACCAGTCCAATTGTTTACAATGACTTACCAAAAACGAAATGGTCTGAATTGACTTGTAAAAATCCTTTTGAGGAGCCAGTTGATGACAACAACAATATGACGTCATCATCGAATGACTTAAGAAAGTTGAAGCTGGATAGCACGATTATAAAACGTTTGATTAAAAATCAAAGCGATAGTCTTCCAAGTCTTCAACATTATGCAATGAATACTGCACAGATAGAGGTAAGTTATAAACAGGAAAATGCCTAAAATACCGATTTTGCCATGAAGGAAAAATCTGTAAATTGGCGAAGAAAATTTGCTTTTCAAGTAAACTGTCTTCGAAGGCTGTACACTTGTATTTGCAATTAGTTGTGTTCTCTGAGAAGCTGGTTGGTTGGTTTAATTAAGGGGCTTTCGTCATCCTTCTGGACAACATCTTCAGCGCAAGTTCTAACTTAAAACGAAGACATTTGAATTTTCCATGAGCGATATAACTGTGTCTCCTGGCAACCACTATTGTGACTTGTAGTAGTTCATTTACATCTCTATTGATCATTTTTATTCACCTGGAATTTGAACTTTCTCGTCACGTTATTTACTTTGTATAAGTTGGTCAATTTGGTCTATACTAATATGTTTGTTAATGGTTTGCTGATTCACTTGAGTACCAGGCTTCTAGGAATTCCCTGACAGTACTTTCGATGTTTCCTCTATTTGAAATGTCAACATTATCGCAGTCAAATTGGTGTCCATAATTAGTTACATGCATTGATATGAAGGATTATATGTCATGTCCTTTCACAGTTAATTTATGTTCATTCGGATTCTAAACAGATGCCCACTTTGACCGATGTTCATACAATTTATTAATTTTATCTTCTTTTTCTGTTGGATCCTTCGGTTTGCACAATATCGAATGAAGTGATTGTGTTGGCTGGCTGGCTTGTGTGCTAAATGTATTTCAAACGGCCTGAATATACTAGCTGTTATTTCAGAGAAATGTTTTATATATATATATATATATGGTAGGATGAATTTTATTGTGATCTTTGATGTTAGCTTGTTGCTGGTGTTATGACTACAGCTTAAACACTGTTTGACGAAATTGTGAGGATATTCATTCTTTTTGAAGACGAATTTTTGGATTTGTTTCCTTCACATTCCCGGTGGAACATAGGGCCTCAAGTTAGTGGCTTGAAGTTTCTGTAGCAGTGTTTATTGTACAGGATGGAGTTGCTAGCCTCATGCCCAACCTTTCCTCTTTACCAGCATTATTTCTGGCTTAGTGAGGTTAAGGAGTGCGTCGGCCGGGGATCGAACCCCGGGACCAGGTGCATGGTCGGCGAGCGTCCTAACCGCTATACCACCGACGCTTTGAAGACGGTGAGCAGGTATTTTTTCTCCATTCTCTTCAACACTGGAGTAGCGCTACAGTGTGTCTGTACTCCTTTCAACAATGTTGGCACATAGTTTTTCTTGGGGGTGATCCGGTTATTACTACTACTACAGTTGAGTATTTGGTCTGTGTGCACTGATTTTCTATATACTTAAATGTCTACATTTCCTATGCTAGGTTGCCTGATTAAGACATCTAAAAATGGGATTTTGTTATCTAATTCTTCTTGTATTTCATGGATACTAGTGCTTAGGAATGGTTCTTAAAAATGAAATAATGTAAGTATGTATTTGAAATTTGATAAGGAGGAGATTTCTATTCAATGAGAAACAAGGTAATTGAATGTTCACTTGGCAGCCGTGAAGGGGGTAAGAAATAAAACTAACTAGGTAAGATGTACAAAAATAGAACATTTATGAGTGATAATAGTGAATTAATTGCTAAAACTAGAGGTGAACTAGTAGGAAATAGCTTTAGACTATAGAAGAATAAAAGACTGAGTTTATAATTGTACTGACGAATCTCTGGCGCCTCCGCTATACACAATTGTCGAAATCTAACACCGTTTGTACCATTCTAGCTTACCTTGTTGGTAATTTTAAAAGATGACTCTGGGAGAACTGCATAGCTTCAGTTCCCTAGGTGCTCAAGAAGCAAGCCAGTAATTATCTTGCATTGTCTGCTGGGTGACCATGCCGGATAATGTTCGTATATATGTTTGGAAAGTGGGAGAGCTTTGTGCAGTCAGTATAACTATGCCCATAAGAGCAAATGAATTTATAAACACATGGTAAAGTGGCTCAAATCAGCAGGTTGTACTTCTCACATCGAATGATTATTTGATGGCAGTGGAAATTCTTTTTTATCTTTAGAGACTATTTCTGAGTAACTGTATCAGTTGTCATCCTCCTATTACTCAGTAATAGACTACTTTACGCTTTTGATAAAAATAAATACGTTTGGTTTCAGGTTTTATCATGAACTGATATCGGTTAGAGAACCATTAGAAAACCAACATGAAGTACTGGATAGTCCTAGTTTGGGACTCTTCATCAGTACGCACCTATTAACAGAGTTCGAACCCAGGGCCTTCTGGTTACAAGGCAGGCGAGCTCATAGACCGATAAGCCACTAGGACCCAATCTAATGGTCCATGAAGTGTCCCAAACTAGGCTGACGAAACAGCTGTTCAGTACTTTCAGGTTTTCAAATGGTCCTCTAACCGATGTCAGTTCATGATGAAATCTTGAAACCAATCAAATCCCTGCAAACCAACACTTGAATGAATGCGATTTTTCAGCTCTTTGAAGACAGCGTTGTCAATAAGGAGAATTTTTTAATTTTATCTTAACTTTAGAAGTGTGTGCGTCGGTAGCACAGTGGTTAAGACTCTCGCCAACCATGCACGTTGTCAGGGGTTCAATCCCTGGCCTACTCACACCTGATATCAATGGTCGGTCTGCAAAATTCGGGCTACCAATATCACATGCTGAAAATTCCATACCTGAAAAAACTAAAAAGACTAATAAAAAAAAGTGTTTTTCAAATAAAAATTGTAATTAAATAAGGTGAAAGATTAGTAAAAATGTCAGATAGTGATGGACAGCTTTTATTATCACAGGGATAGTGTTTTTGTCAGGTTGAGTAAATCAAAATTGATTCATTTCTCAAGGAACATATTCGTTGCTGTTTATCTCATAGCTGAGACAGAGTGTGTGTGATAGAGAGCTATTAAACTCTAAAGAATACAGAAAAGAGGATATTACATTCGAATTAATCACCGGATATCATGAAATGTAGCTGTTGATTTTTAGAGTATTTTTCTCATAACTGTTAAGAAAGAAAACTGAAAAACAAAGAATGCATGATAATGTAGTAGTAGTAGTATTCGTAGTATTATCGTGTCACCTAGATTAGAGACCGAAACGACACTGTTAAGTTGATCTGTTGATGAACGAAATACTCTCATATTGAGTTATAAGAAAAAGACATAAATAGCGGGCAAAATTTTCTTTTCGACGATTCATTTTCATAAGCTGCTGTACAATCGTAATTATATTTAATAAAGAATTTATAAAACCAATCATATAATGGTAAAATTTGCCCTGGAAAACGTATTACTTAATTTAAGGTTTAGTCTAGAAGGGATGACTAATTGGAGATTAGCAAAGGGATCAGAAGTTAGCATGACGTAATGAGTGTGTGAAAATGACTAATCAATATAGTTGTGTAGAATGGATAAGAACTAGTGGAAAGATGACAAAGTGTTTTTATATAAAATCTGTATGAAAACGCAATGTAATTAATAAACAGTAGTAGAGTGGTAATATAATAAGGATGATGAGAATAATAATATTAGTAAACTTGCATAATACAAGGAATCAAAATTATAGTGAGAAAGTTTCTCTGGTCACGGTAGGGCGAGTGAATATATGTGCTGCTTTTGAATCAAGAGATCTGGTTTCAGATCTCGAACAGCTAATGATTCAGCTATGTACAGATGGTGTATACAAAGTCCTTACATGCGATATTGAGGGACTCTGTATAGCACTGTGAAGCATTCATGCGGGAGTGCTCGATGTAAAGAGCTGACAAGGTGTTCGAGGATGGAGCTGCTACTATTCTTCTTTTCTCCCTTGGCTAACCAAGCTGGATAGTGTTCCAGAATATATTTGTGGACTTGACGTTGCGTACGGCCGATATACTTTGCTCCACACCAAAAAGTAAACTGATAAAAACATTAAGGTGGCCGGAAGCGGTATCTTATCCTTACGATGGTCAAGCTTATGAAAATGAATCGTTGAAAAAGAAAATGTTCCTCGCTGTTTGAGAGTGTGTCGGCCGGGAATCGAACCCCGGACTAAGAACGGTGTGGTTGACCAGCATTCTACCACTGAATCACCGTTACGATATGTGACCACACATGAATTTCAGTTTGTATACAGTTTGAGATTTTACACAATCACTTGTTCAATGTTGAGACTTGTAGTAGAGCATATTTTTGGCATTTCTGATAATCATAAGTCAGGCTCCATAGTAAGTTTTACAAATAACTGAATTCAGTCTCTATCTCAAAAGAATGCCACACTTATTTTCCCATTGTAAGGCGGTGCATCAGTGGCACAACGGTAGAATGCTCGCCAACCACGCATGTAGTCCGGGGTTCGGCCCCCGGCTGACGCAAGCCTTCACCTCGCTAAGGCAGTAATAAGACTGGTTAAGAAGGAAGTTTTGGCATCAGGCTAGCAACCCCATCCAGTAAAAACAAACACTACTACTACTATCGAAACTTCAAGCCTCTAGCTTGAAGCCCCATGTTCCACTAGGGACGTAAAGGAATAAAAAGAGCTAGTTTGATGCAGATATCTTTCTTTGGGATGGAGTAGACTCTAGGCTTTGAAACTAACCGGTCTCTACACTGTTTCGAAAACTTCAAAGAATACCCACTTTCTATGTATATCCATCAATATTTTACTGTCATCATCTACAACATCAGCTACACAAATACGCTGAATTCTCTCGATAATCTCCATCTTCGAATAACACTATCCATATTTATTAAAAGGGCTAATTTTTATAAATTTTTAAGAGGAAATATGATTGAACATGTACACTTATCTTAGAAATTTTAAATATCCTTATCTACTCATGTATTATTTCTGCATTTCAATTTGTAGATTATTCGTGAAAATAATAAAATTGAACGTATAATTTATCCAATCCCTGAAATGTGTCAATATTTAACAAATACAAAAAAGTGTCAGCTATTAAATAAAACTATCATGGATGATGATCACACCAAATTGCCTTCATTATTTGAATTGATTGAAGATATTTATGCAGAAATGCTGTGTGCTAAACATATGCTTGGTATGTTTAATTGTATTATATCTTGTTGGTGTGTCTTATTTATATTTATTGTAGCTTGATTTAACCCACTTCCCAAGTATCGGCTAGCAGGGGTTTGATTAGCTGTAGGTCTGGTCAACAGCTGACATGAATTTGAGAATCATTGGGGAACCAGAAAGTATTAGACAGCAGTTTCGTCCCAGTCTAGGACTCTTCAGGGATGCGCACCCACTTGGGTTCAAACTCTGGACCTTCTCCTTACAAGATGAGCTCCTAGACCGTCCAGCCAGCGGCATTTGCTCTAATTGACAGCAGCTGGAATTCATGGGCAGTTCGCCTGGGTCTCAGTAACTGAGTATTGCTAAAGTGTAAATTTTAGTAGTAGTGGGAGTGGTAATCGTTGCGGTAGTAATAGTGTAGAAACATAACACGTTAGCATTTGATAGCAAATTTATTTATTGGAAAATCGATGTGCAGATACATTGGAATCTTCATGTACACATTTTCTCTGTATTGTGGCTTTGTATTCCTTTTATGTTTTCTGGGTTGCTTGAAAACGATCTTTCATTTCTCCTCTTGTGGGCGCGTGCTGACGAAGAGTCCCACACTAGGCTGACGAAAGCGCTATCCAGTACTCCCAGGCGGTTTTCTAATGGTTCTCTAACTAATGTTAGCTCGTGATGAAATCCGCCAACCAGTCAAACAAAATTCCCTACAAAATCAAAACTTAAGAATAAAATAGGATGACTGTGTCTGAGGAAGAGAAGAAATACCTTAAAAGAAAAGAAAAATGTCTATAAAGTGCCCTCGATGAAGAGCTTTACATTATGTCTTTATTCTGCTAATAAAACAAACAACTCCACAGTGGTTTTAACTTTTGGCCATGCCATTTAACGCTTCGACCTACTGAGTAGCGTCATGTTTCTTAATTTTACCTACACACTGACGGTACAACAATACAACACTCTCCTACTTCTGACAGTGTTTTGTTATTAGCTCGGCTATCATCCTACTTTTTCTAATTATATCTAGGACTACTATGCGTATATATAGTCCTTTTTATAAGGATTTGTTTAATCCTGTTTCTATTACTTTGTAGTTCATCCATGGATTCACTGGTTCTCATTTCGTTCTCAATGGATATCAGATGCAAGTTTCTACCAGACATTGTGTTTGAACTTTTTACTGATTACATTCTATCCTTTTCAAGGGAAAGCATCCTTATGTAAGTTTAACTGTATTTATATATATTCACATTTGTTAAAGAAAAGTATATATATATATATTATCGTAAATCAGATGTCTGATAGGATTAATTGCTATACCAACTTGTGTTCCGCGTGGAACATAAAGCTTCAACAGCACATCTTCACTTCACCTCGTCTCCTAAAGTCCTCTTTATTTTGGTCCCTTGATTGCATATATGCTTTCTCTTCTCCCTCACAAGATCTCCTCCATGTCACCCTTGCAGCCACTCCCAACTCTTTGCTTCCCATTTGGGTTCCACTCATAAGCTTGCCTTGTGTGTGTAGTGTCATTCAACGGTCTCTTCAGCGTGCGTCCGATCCATCTTCATTTCTTTCTACATATTTATTGAGTGACAGGTTCTTAGTCCAATGTGATGTATGATAAATAGTTAATACAAAATGGTTTATGTCTTATTAGTAAACTGATAACTTCTTCATTTAATTCAATTTTAGATTTTCCCGTCGATTGATTGGACCGAAGTGCTCGATCTCAGGTTGACATGTCGGCTTCTTGTGCAGATGCTTCGATAATGTCTGGGCATGTAATTAGAAGTTAATTGGTGGATGGTGACTAGCAGTGGAACCCTAGGATAATGCGCATTTCGTCCTATTTGAGACTCGTCATCTGGGTTCAAGCATTGGTAGGAAAATCATCACTCACTGCAGAATGCAGGTACATTCAGATGACGAGTCCCGAATAGGACGATATACGTGTTATCCTGGATTCCACTGCTAGTCACCACCCACAAATTAGCTTCTGATAACTTCTTCCTTTATTGGGGTTTTTAATTTCAGCATTACTTTAATACATAAGTAGAGCTATACAAACTTGTAGTTTTAACGAATAGTGATGATTTGTGGGTCAAAGATAGACGTTGTGAGTCATGCAGTCTGTAATCATAATAATAATAATATTGACCGCAATGATTGATAGTCATAACGCAACTAAAGATTATGAAAATGGTGACGTAAATAATGAAAAGACTATGAGAATGAATAGATTTCAATGGTTAGGCAAAGTAAAAACTTCGGAAGTGAGTGCAGTAGGTGAAGAGTAAACACCTTCAACATATGAAAGTGGTAGAGGATAAAGAAATAGTCCTCAAATTTAAAGGCTCAGGTTGTCTTAGTAAGCTTGCGTTGATAAAAGCAGAGAAAATGGCAAACATTTCTCCGGATATATAAGTTATGAATATCTGTTCCAATTAAAACTAATTATTGAAGTGAAATGAATTTCAACCGAAATAGCAAAGTTCTGTCCGACCCTATTAATGAAATACCTTGAACAGATTTAGTCCTGTCTAATAGGAGGTGACACTGTCCATCGAATATTCAAAGATCTTTAACTTTCTGCCTTTAAGATTTTGGTAAAACGCTATTCAGACACATCATCCGCTAGTGTTTGGCGACCACATCGAATTGGTCTGTTTCAACTCAAGGGTGGTATGTCCAGAGTTACTTAGCTCAAGGAAACTATTAATTAAGTGTCGCTTGAATTCCGACCACCTTCTAAGGTGACTTAGTGATACATAAAACGCGACTAGTTATCCTATAAGTCCGTGGGCAACTTTGGCGAAGTGTACTTTGGAAATAGTTATTTGTTTGGCCATTGAACTAACAAATATACCCATTCAATCATTAATAATGTAAAAAAACTCCCTTACCTCGCTAAGCTATTAATGGGATTGGCAAATAGGAAAGGTTGGGCATGAGGCTAGCAACCCCATCCCGTAAAAATAAACACCATGGCTTTCGAAACTTGAAGCCTCAAGCTTGAAGCCCTGTGTTCCAGTGGGAGCGTAAAGGAATTAAAAAATGTAAAATAGCGGAAACATTTTCCTTGTTAATGACTTCATTTTCAAGCTGTATAGTCGTATTTATAAAACGGAAATGAAGACATTAAATGGCACTAGAAATTGTCTAGTCAATATATAATAAGAACAAGGTTAAATAGCAAAATTTTTAATTAGAGGGATGTGGAGTTGAATTGGTGGATGAATGACAAAGTTTTAAAGGACTTAAAAACTACGAGTTGTTAGCAAGAGATATAAAGTAGGTCAAGTGATGTGAAAAGTTAACACTTTCATGATGATAGCAGCAATGAAGGCTGAGATAAGACAAAGTGGAATGGATCTTACTGACAAGAAAACAAACAGCAAGAGCATTACTACGACAGAAATAAATAAAATGACTGGACAGCACGTTTTCGAACAAGTAATTTAGGTTTTTGTTCTTGTATAGCTAGTGTTTCGGCTGCATATAAGTGATGAGACTGTAAACTTTTAGAGTGGCTGAATTTATCCTTATAGATAATTCTAAAGAATAAATCGCACACGTCTGAACGACCAGACTCAAAGTGTTCACAGATAGCAGATCTCGTCATTCTATGTTCACATTTTATCAACCGGATAGAGTGGTATTTAACTACGCGTCTCTGGAGAGCCCGCTTACAGCATCCATATGTATTCAGCTCCACAGGAACATGTGAAGACATAAATGTACGGTGAAGATGTTTCCTAGTAGGGTGATGAAAGCTTCGCAAATAACCATTCAGCTCAGAGAACACAATAACATCAAAATTACTTCATTAATGGTGTCACCGGTGAATCCCAAACTCGTAAATAGTATCTATTTTTGACACGATGATTTGGCTAGGAGTTATTTCCTTCAAAATGCCCTTTAGAAAGTCTATTATTTATGATCATTATACGAATGCTTTCAAACTCATTGTTGACTGTGTCCTTAGCGCAAGTTTTCAGAACTTTGTAATATAGAAAATAGATAAGTTTTCTTTTTCTACTGTAACAGTTAGTGAACTAGCTTGCAATGATTGGCTTTCTCTGGATTGACTTTTTTAATGAGTCATGTGTAATATAACTCTCTTTGATTGCTTATTTATTATAATTTGAACTGACTAAACTTAATTTTTAAATACACAGTATCAGAAAGCTGATTAAAGGCTTTAGTTCACAAGCGAAATATACTTTTATTTGTTAGATAATACCAGATGATTATAAAACCAAACATAAAACAGTCAACGTAATGAAAGCCAATAAGGCATTTCGTGAAAAGTGATTTTTGATTCCATATTCAGACAAACAGCCTCAGAACTCAGTAAAATCAATAGGGCTTTCGATAACAACATCGCTATCAACGTCACTCAACCAATCAATTTAGGCATATCTTAGATATTTTCTACTGTTAATATTTTACACTATGTTAATTTTAAAGCTTTCCAAATAATAACTTCTTTCACGTTTAATCACTGATTGATATTAGCTAAAGAATCACCAGAAAAGCTAATAGTACTATAGGGTCATTTCGTCCTCGTTCAGGACTCTTCATCAGCTCTCTAATATGACCCTATCAGGAAGTGAATCCAGGAGCTCCAGGTTAGAAGGTGGATTAGTTAACCATTCAGCTATAGGGATGTAATCTAGTGGCCAGTCACTTCTAACTTCTATCAGTCTATGAGCTTGCTTTGTAACCAGAAGGTCCTGGGTTGCAACCTTGGTGGGTGAATACTGCTAAATAGTCCCAAACTAAGCTGACGAAACAACTGTCCAGTCAGTACTCCCAGGTTATTGAATGGTTCTCTAACCTATGTCACCTCATTATAAAATCCTGAATTTTTTGATTGGACATTAGTAACTAATGTGGCGTGTGTAGTCCTTTCTTCGGTGCAGACTGAATTCTGTCAGTTAGGTTTGCAATGTGGCCACCATTCTAGGTAGCTCGCCATCACGGTGCACATTGATTTGATGATATTAGATGGTTGGAGGCAGTCGGCCACAGGAAGCCTTGCTTGTCCTAGGTTTCCTGTTAGTTGACACTCATCAGTCAGCAAGGACGTATCTGTGGCCTTGAAGGAACTCATGTCCCTTCTGAGACTCGAACCCGCGTCACCCAGTGCTGCCAGTAGTCAGAGACGCTACCACTGAGCACTAATTACTAGTGTCCAATCAAAGTATCTACTACATTCCTACAGGAGGTCAATCGCGAGTCCGAAAACCTCAGTGGTAACTTCTGTGACTGCAGTTCTCACTGAGTGAAGCGGGTTCGAATCTCAGAAGGGACATGAGTTTCTTTCAAGATTGTTGATACGCATTGTTGACGAGTTTCAATTAGCACGAAACCTAAATTCAAGGCTTCCTGCCGATTGCCTCCAACCATCTAATGTCATCAATCCTGAATTCTATCAGTCTGTTGGATTCTCGGTGGGTTCATGTGTGTGTACGGATGATGAGTCTCAAATAAGGACGAGACAGTTGTTTAGTACACCCTGGTTTTCAGTCGTTGTCTAACTGATATCAACTGGTTCACTGGAAATTAATACTTGAAAAACATAACTTCCCTATCTAGTCAGTTAATAATTGTATTATGATTATCTTATCCTTAATTCCGAAAGGCTGTTCACACTTTCTACTTTCATTCTATTATTTGTTACATTCACTTCTAAATTGTTATCACATTTATTTTTATAGTTTTTAACGGTAAACTGTTTGAAAATCACGTTATCTATGGTTAACATGAATGTGACTTTAGTGATTAGCACTAACAAACACATGACCTTTTGTTACAAGATAATTATGCGGTGTATAATTTTGTAAAACATTAAATGAACAGAAGCATTTCTAGTGCCACCACACATGTTTAGAACACTTAACAAAGAAAGCTTCAGTTATTTTGTCATTCACAAAGGGAATTAAATGGGATAAAATGTGACTATATTTGTAGAGCTATTATCATTAAAAAAAATTTTCCGGAAGTTGTACATCTCTATGTGTGTTTATGTATATAGAATGGTACTTCTATTAATAAAGTCAATTAAAATTAATGTTTACAACAAATCCTCATTATGGTTGTTAATTATTATTATTGGTAACCAATAACTGCCTTATGAACTTTTGCTTTACCAATCCAGGAACTTAATCTGATCTAAGATTAGGCCCTATTTAATGTTGCTGGGGTGTGTAATTTAAGTGATGAACAGTTTTACGTCAGAATAATTATTACTTTTGCCAAGTTCCTTTTGGTCCATACTACTTATTTGATGATAATATTCTTTTGCGATATCCGCTAATCTTTTTCAAGACCTCAAAGTAGTAAAATCGGAATAATTTCTTAAGTTTTAGCCTCCTAAAACAGATAAATACGAGAGACTACAATACGAAGTTGCCTGGAGATATAACGATGAGTTGTGGCCAGTGCGGTTCACCAGGATGGGTGTGAGGTCAGGAACTCAAAGATGACATTGGGTGGAAGTCGTTCTCTATATATCGTTAATTGGCAGAAGTTAGAATTCATTGGCCAGTGGATTCCGACTCAAGTGACTGAATGGTCGACCAGCTTGGTCTCATAACCTGCAGGTCCTAGGTTTGATTCCTGGTAGGGGCATGTATGCGTTCAGCTGATGAATCCCAGTGGTTGACTGACTGGCATCACTCGGCTGTCCAAGCCTGAAATATTAATGAAATCAAACGGGCATTCTAAGAATAAGTATTAGAAAATATTATTGATGCATTTGATTTGATGCTCCTGTGAATCTATTCATGCTGATTGTCACTAGAAACTTAGTTCTCCGTGCTCTGGAGCACTTACTACTGTAGCTAAAGAAGCAGCAAAAACTATTAACAGTTCTATTTTCGATCACCTGGTCAATACAAACCATAAAGCTAATATTGGAGAATCTGTTTCTATTATCTATCAGGTATTAAAAGCCTTTAGGTACCGAATACTTCAAACAGTAGAGGCTATTACATTCCACCTAAAACAACCAGAACTCTGCTTGGAAAAGAAGCGGCTCGGCGACTACTCTTATAGTGACCTACTCTCCGACCTGTACTGATGCATGCTATTACTTACACATGTAAATACAAGAGTAAGACAAGGCTGTGTATTATCACCAATGATATTCTTAACTGTAGTAGAATGGATTTTGCGTCAGATTGTGTGCTGTGAGTGAGAAGACAGGAATAAGCTGGACCACCGATAAGAAGACTCCAGAAGATCTGGATTTCACACTTGGATAATTTATGCTTCATGACTTATTAACTAGAAGACCTACATGTGAAAACCAATAAACTGGCTGAAGAGGCCGGAAGAGAAGACAGGACTTCAGGTAAACATAGAGAAGGCGCAGGTGATGAATATTAGTAACCAACAGTAACAGCAACAACAACCAGCACTAACCGCCATCAAAGAGAGAGATTTGACAGAGGTTACTTCCGCCACTTTTTACCTACAATCGAAACAGATGAATGTGTCAAAGCCAGGAGGAATCGTAAAGGCAAGAGACGCCTTCATCAACCTGAAATCAGTTTGGAAATCGTCTACGCTCCGCAGCATAAACAACAAGATTCGGATTTTCAGTAGAAATGTGAAGTCATTCAATTCTTCTATATAGGTCAGAAACTTGCACTGCGTGTGCATCACGAAAAGGATTTCCAACAGATCGCAAACTGTTATCAACACCTGTCTTCATTGGCTCCATATTGAAGATCAAATGGCCAGCTGTCCGGAAAGAATTAGCTGCAAGAAAGTCTGGCTGGCAACAAACCAACCAAGATCCCACTGCTCAACAAATATGTAGGAGAAAATGGAGATGGATTGAGAGTCCGTTGGCGGGACCGTCAAATGACATCGCGCACAATGCAGGGAATCGCTCGAGTGGGATCAGATCACCGACAAGTAGGTTGTCGGTGCGAGGAAGTAGATCGTGTGGCGAAGAGGAAACTAGAGATTATGGGCAATCATGGGCCCAGGCAACTGAGGAGGACCGTAGAAAATAGGACAAAGCTGAGGTGTGTTGTTGAAATTCTATTTTTCATTTGGAACCCAAGGGAACTATAGAAAAAGAAAGTATATAATAATAATAATAATCACTTACAGATGCTTTTGAACTGTAATCTGTTGGTATCAGTGGTTCGATGTTCTTGGAAATATTAATGCTGTTAATAAAAAAATAAAATAAATATTATGAGCATATATACCTGTAAAATTTTATGAAGTTATTGAAAAACAACATCCTTTGTTTACTTATCTCAGTCTTTCAACACTTTTCATGAATATCTTTAACCAACATACTTAATTGTTTGGTGTATTTATCTGATTTTCAGCATATAGCTTGAATGAATTCGAAACTGAGATGGCTATAATACCATTTGCCTTATTCGCTGTTTTATTATGCCTTATTTGTTCAAATCAATTATCAGTGCAAATTTATGTTGGCTTAGAAACGTTATACTTATTAGATGTCTGCGGTAGTGAAAATATTATTCATGTGTTGGGTTTAACTAATGTAAGTTGAAAATGTTCACTAAAAACTTTCATGTGTTGTTTTCTGTTTCCAGTCTATCCCAATTGGCTTTTGGATTGTGATTAATTTTCAAGGATGTTAGGGAGTAATTTCAGAATATGGGTAAACCACTAAATAAATACGTTGTTGAAAAGAAAAATGATTTGCGTTGGAACAATTGCTTGCTGGGAATCGGTGGTTCAGTGGCAGAATGATCATCAACCACCCGCATAGTCCTGCTTCGGCTACCATCCGAAGCACTCCTACACCTTGCATAACTGGTAGTAAGATGTTTGAAGGAGGAAGGATGGGCGTCAGGCTAGCAATGGCTCTCCGTAAACATACGTCTCTGTTGAAACTTTGGAGCCCTAGCTTGAAGGCCTGTCGTCAACTTGAAACAAAAAGGAATGCCTTTTAGGTCTTATGATGTGTAGATAATAAGATAATAAGGTTACCAATTGAATGTTGACCTCGAACAACACACCTCCATTTCACCCTGTTCTCTGCAGCCCTTTCTACTTGGCCCCACGAATATCACTAAGATTTCATCTTCCTATCACATTATCTCCACGGACAGACGCCAAACTCCTCGCCTGATTCCTCTTCGGGTTTCCCTCGGAAGCCTGGCACATGATTTCAGTCGATGTTCTTCTCAATGTATGTCGAATCAATCTCCATTTCCGTCTACATATTTTTCGGCCTATAGATTGTTCGTTGGTTCACTGCCAGGCAGAGCTCCTTGTTGCTTATACTTTTCAATCAGTCGTCTGATCTTCTATATGGATTGAAGGTGGTTGCTGATGAAAGTCTGCAGCAGTATTATTATTACTCCTTTTGGTTCCAAGTGGAACATAGAACTTCAACAACACATATCCACTTTGTTATATTCTCCACTGTTATCTTCAGCTGGGTCCACATTTGCCCATAACCTCTCGCCACACTATCACCTCCCTGTCACCCCCGAGGCTGAGCTCGATGTTGACCATTCGGGTTCCACTCCAACGATGTCAAGCACTGCGTGCACTGTCACTCTGCAGCCTCCTCAGTGTGCCCCTAATCCATCTCCATTTTCTCCTACATATTTGTTGAGCAATCGGCTCTTAGTTGGTTTCTTGCCAGCCAGAGTTTCTTGTTTATAATTCTTTCTGGGTGGCGGGTTGGCCATTTGATCTTCAGTGTGGGGCCAACGAGCGGGCAGCTATTGATAAAAGTCTATGACCTGTTGGAAATCGTTTTCGTGATGCACAAGCAGTGTAAGTTTCTAACCCGTATAGAAGAACTGACTGACTTCACATTAGTGTTGAGAATCGGAATCTTGTTGTTCGTGCTGCTGAGTGCAGAAGATTTCCAAACTGGTTTCAGGTTGGTGAAGGCGTATCTTACCTTTCTACAGCAGTCTGTTAGAAATACTTACAGTACGTAGTTGATAAGCTGGCTGTACGGCTTGAGGAAGAGAAAAGTTCGGTGGTGAATCCAGTGATTCTGGATCGGAAAATCAATTCAATCACTCCCAAAAACTTCAAAGCACAGAAAAATACAAACAAGTATTATATACATATGTGAATGCTGTATGCAAGATTTATAGGGATCTTATTGGTTTTGGAGTAGATGCCGTCCTGATCGACGAAATACACAACCCATTATTGTGACAATTACTCCTTGATGACATTTGATAGCGATGGTGTTATATTGTAAACTGCCAGTGACTTTAACTCATGTGTTATTAACACGTCAACCTAAAGAATGCATTGTCCAGAACTCCTTCATCTATGGATTAGTGAGCAGCCATTGCTGGCCACTCTCATACCATGATAATGCATATACGTGAAGTCATTTGTTTTTTATTGGAGTTTTAGCTGATGGTAGTTATATATGTATGTTTACAAGTAAAATTCGAATATAAACCAATCATGGTGTTTTGTCTATAGGATAATACGATGATGAATATAAATTGTGCAATTAGTCATAATAGTAGTAATGATGATAATAATTATAGTAATAATAGAAATGGTCTTATCAATAATAAGGATGAAAAAGTGAGGCAATCTGTGATAACACGAATAACGAAAAACAGCATGATTAAACAAACAACTGTTCAGGTGGAAGTAGTCGATAAAGGCTAGTAAAAACAAATGAACTGATTAAGTAATGTTAGATTGTAAGGTAAGGAAATGAAACACGTTTTTAATGAAGATGTGATAGGATTAAGGGATGATAAGAAAGGGGTGAAAATACAAACAAAGGGTGGTGTAGAAGTTATTAGTTGGTTACGTCTTAATAGGCCAAGGGAGGGATAAGGGCTGTACGAACTTTTTTTGAATACATAATTTAGGTTTAATAGTTCGAATGCCTATCGCCTCAGCTGTGTGTAGTAGACGAATACGAAGTCTATTGGAAAGATTCGGTGGGATACGATGAATCACTTTGAACGCTCTCGTTTTCTCGATTACATGACCACTATCAATTAAGTGTGACAAAATTGAGCTACGGATTGTTTTTATCTGTCCTTTGCCAAACCACGATGGGAAATGTTCACTAACACGTTGGCTAAGCTGTCTAGTAGTACGCCCAATATAACTGTCACCGCAGGTGCAGTTGAATTGATAAATACACATAGATGTGGCAAAACTATCAAGCTTATCCTTCGTTTGCGTCCCAATCATTCGTCGGCTAGAGAATGACAAACATAGGTGTGCTGCATAAAATGTTCTTCAGATACTCCTTGAAAGTCTCTGGAATAGAATCTCACTTGATAAGTCACCATTAAATTGTAAGTTAATAAATAGAGGTTTCTGACGTGCAGTCAGAGTCTCCGGTTTTTTCTCCGATATTTTCATATGTTTCTTTATGAAACTACTCGGATAGCCCATCTCCATCAAGTAATCGTGAATATATTCAAATTCCTTTTGTAAGAGGTCATCCGTACATATCTTTCTTGCTCTACTCGCAAGACATTTTACAACGTTCCTTTTATATTTAATGGGCACGTAACTAAGGAAATGTGTGTATTGCCCTGTGAAAGTGCTTTTTCTATACACGCTTCTCCCAAGTGTTTGTTTAATCATGCTGTTTTTCGTTATTCGTGTTATCACAGATTGCCTCACTTTTTCATCCTTATTATTGATAAGACCATTTCTATTATTACTATAATTATTATCATCATTACTACTATTATGACTAATTGCACAATTTATATTCACCATCGTATTATCCTATAGACAAAACACCGTGATTGGTTTATATTCGAATTTTATTTGTAAACTTATATATATTAGAGTTAAGCCTGATGAGATCTAATTGAAAACAATATTGTTCGCTTAAATGTGTTGTTCTAAATTTTACTATGGGAATATTTAGTATATATGTATGTATAAAGAATGTAATAGTATTGCACTTTGTTTCTCTTTCCAGTTGATTTTTAGACTAGCCAACTTGATTATTATATACAGACAACACAGTCTTATAACTCAGTATAAAAAACATTTATTCATCAGTGAAATGAAGGCGATTGGAGAAACAGGCGATACAATCAAGCATTCCCCATCATCATCATCATCATCATCACCATCATCCTCATTATTTAAAATAGACAATGTGAAAAAATTATTCTCTCCTCATAGTATAAAGAAATTTTTCACATCAACATGGAGAAAATGCAAATGTTTGTCAATACGAAAGCTACTCAAATGTTTTCCAACGCTATTCACCTATTTAAAACATCAAAATATGAATGAACTCAATCATAAACTAATTCATAATTTGTTACTTATCACATTCGCCGCATTAGGAGTTTTTTTGCATCCTCTATTTCATAGTCTAGTGGTAAGTTTTAAACTGTTAAAATACCAACATAAATTTCTACCTTTGTGTTTAGGTGGATCTTTATTTTTATTTCTTTTAAATATTCAACTGCTCCTGCAGACCTAGTTACATAAGTCGTACAATTAGGCGCGTTTATCGTCGGATTTCCGAACATGATCCTGGGTGGTTAAGTAAAGGATAAATAAAATCCATTCATAGAGCTATTCTATCTCATCTTGTGGATACAGAACACAAGATTGATGTCAACAAGGCGGCTTTCATTCAAAGTCATTTACCACATATCAACAAATCTTCACTTTACCTTAAGAGTTCGTCTACTGCATACTGCTAAGGCCGTTGGGATCCACAATGAGAAAGTTAACTTATGTATCCAGAAGAAGAAGTTGCTTCAGACACTTTCCTTACCTTGGCTGTCAATCAAGGTTTTAATGATCCTCAATTTGTTGTGAAAATTTCCCGAATTCTATTTGATATTCTATTCGCTTTTATATTTTTATGCTTATTATAATTTATGCATCTTCAGTGAACTGTAATTCCACTGATCTTACTTAACAAATCGATAGTGACTTGCTACAGGACGGAGTTTCTTGGAGTTCTAATGAGAAGTCGTGACCAGTGAGGTCCATCCAGTCAAGTGTGAGGATGGATGTCCCACCTATGATATTGGTTTATGGTCGCAATAAATCATGAATTGGTAGAAGTTCACATTCATGGGCTGGCCATTGAATTGGGTCCCAGTGGCTGAATGGTATACGAACTTGTTTTTGTAACCATAAGTTCCTGGGTTCGAAACCCAGTGGTGGGTGCGTACTGCCGATGATTCCCAAACTAGTGAGATGAAACAGCTGTCCAGTACTCCCTGGTTTTCAATGGTTCTCAAACTGATATCGACCCATGAACAACTCTTCAAAACAAATCTAATCCTTACAAACCATTTGTTGAAATCGATAGTATTTAAAAAACACCAATATTCTTATTGACAACTATTCTAGAATATTCTATGTATACAAACATATATATATAGAACTGTAGAGCAAGGAGAGGAAATTATCGAAAAGGATATTCTTTGTTTTTACCGTTGATTGATTAAATCGAAACGTTGAGACTCTGCTGACATTGCGGTACTAAATAAAAGCTTGTGGACCATCATGGAGCCAGCTGGATAAAACTTCCGAGAACAGTGCTGAAATGCAGCTTCACTGATGAAACCTTATGCTCCACTTGGAACCCAAGGGAATAATAATGATAAATTGAAATGTAGCCACCAGCATAATATGAAAGGAGCTTTATAGAAATTTGGGAAAACACACTAAAATTAGTGTCATTTTATAGCTTGACACGAATAAGTTCCATCGCATTGTTGATATGTTAACAAGTGGTTTTTTTGTATCACTGTGGTAATATATATGAACTACACTCAAATGTAATGGCTTCCAACAAGTAAAGATATTGCTTACTTAAGAAAACATAGTTGTTGTGAGTACAATAAAAAATAGGTGGTCTTTTATTGATAATGGACTGAATTTTCAAGGTGGACGTTTGCAGAAAAAAAGTGCGATAGTTCAAATTCCTTTACTACATAAAAGTATACAGGAAGACAGGGGAAATAAAATACGCGAAGGAAGATAACTGAACGGAAACTTTGCGTCAATGAGAACTATTTTAATCTACATTCCTAATAGTCTCCAGGCCTCTGCAGCCAGGTACTCCGCTCTCTTCCATGTGACTTAAATCAGCAGTCAAAGAATTCATGGATATTCAAATATTGGTTTGTAGGGATTTGATTAGCTGGTTACAGGATTTCATCATGAGCTGAGAGAAAACCGTTAGAGAACCGCTTAAAAACCTGCAGAGAGTACTGGACAGATGTTTCGTCCTAGTCTGGGACTCTTTGCCAGTACGCACCCACCACATGGGTTTTGAACCCAGGACCTTCTGGTTACAAGGCGAGCTCGTAGAACATTAGACCATCGGAACCTGGTCCAATAGTCCACGAATTCCAACTTCTGCCAATCCACCACATAACGCGACCGCTACCCAGTGTCTTCGGCGATTGTTTTTCCTTGCACTGGACATGCTGCACCCTACTGGTCACGACGACCTACAAAGGTCCTTGGTTTCAACCCCGGCGGTTGCGTTTTGATAAGGAGTCCCAAACTAGGACCAAACAGCTGTCCACTACTCCCTACAGGTTTTCCAATTGTTCTCTAACCGATGATAGCCCATGATGAAGTTATGTAACCAATTCGTGGATTCATGCCATGTTTAGGCCTAAACCCTCACTAACTAATTTTTTCTAAACCACTCCTATGCTAACTAACCTTACTCGTCGATAAAGGCTTCAGTTTGACATATCATCAATTAATTTTCCCTACGCTTAACTTTAATTTTACTGACCTGATTATACCACCTTAAAAAGCTACAGATAAGATGCAAACGCCTATGGTCATATTTATTAATCTTTCTTCACAAAAATGCTGAAACTAATCTACATTCTTTTTTTCCTATATATGGATAATTGAGGATATTTCATTTTTTTTTTCATCTTTTTCAACATACATCTCAGTTACTGGATGTGATTACACGTGAAGAGACTTTGTTGAATGTTGTTCGTTCAGTGACAAAAAATGGTCGATCAATCTTTTTGACAGGAATTTTAGCCCTGATTATTATCTACTTATATTCTATCGTTGGGCATGTTTACTTCCGAAATGACTTTGCTATAGAAGTCGATGATCACAAAGGTTTGTCAATTTATATGTATACATATATATTCAACTGTTGGTTTGAGCAAATTTTATTGATTTCAGCTTTCATCACGAACTCACCTCAGTTGGAAAACCACTGAAAACCAGATAGTAGTGGACAGTTGTCCTTATCCTTGTTTGGCATCTGTCAGCAGTAATGAGCCCATCACCCCAACACAGATCAAATCAGGAAATTTTCAGCTTATAGCATAAGCTCTCTGATCATTCAGTTACTTGCAGGAAATTCAATGGTCTATCTGTTCTAAATTCTACCGATTCCGGATGAATAGAAAAATTTTAAGTGAATTCAGTCAGCACCCAGTCACCAATGGATGCTAGATTAATTTTTGAAGTGTTAATTTGTAGGAATTTGATGCGTTACAGATTTGGTAATGGATTGATATCAGCTGGAAAACTACCAAAAACAAAGGAGTACTGTAGTACACAACACTTGAAAATTAATCTGATGCTCACTAGCGACAAAAACAACAGACAACAATCAGCATAAATGGGAGAAATCTGAAAGAAACAACCTCCTTCACCTACCTACCTAGGAAGTATCGTTCCAACTACAGATGGATGGAACTGATGGGGATATCAAAGCAAGGATCGAGAAAGCAAGGCAAGCTTTCATTACTCTCAAGTTTGTGTGGAGATCAACAGCACTCAGCATGAAAAACAAAATGTGGATTTTCAACTGCAATGTGATGTATGTGCTACTATACAGCTAAGAGACTTGGCGCATCACAATGGGCACTTCGAACAAACTACGCGCCTTCATCAACAGCTGTATTCGCTCTATACTACTCAAGATCAAATGGCAGGACAGAAAAGATCAGCAACAGGAAGGGATCTCTAGGAGCGAACCAACTCAACAAGAATAAGTTGTGCAAACAAATATTCAGGAAGAAATGGAGGTGAATTGGTCAGACTCTGAGGAAACCGTCAAGTGACATCACACGAATGGGAAGTGGCGCGTTGGTCGTCATTGCGAGAGTGACATGGAGGACGTCATGCGAAGGGAAGATGAAGGCATTTGGGCAGACGTGGGGCTGAAGCCTTATGCTCCTCTAGGAACCTAAAAGGAATCAATTATATAATAATCACTAGCGGCGGCCTACAGGATTAATTTACCTAGAGTTCTAGTGAGAAGGTATGACCAGTGGAGTCTACGAGGTTGGGTGCCAGGATAAATTCTCGCCTATGGTGTTAGCTGATTGTGGCGCTGAAATAGCGAAATGTCACATGTTAGAATCGATGAGCCATCGGGTTCCGTCCCAGTGGTTGAGTGATCAACCAACTCACCTTATAACCTGTAGGTTCTGGGTTCAATCCTTATTTGGCTGATGGGTACGCACTGTGGAAGAGTACCAAACACGGAAGTCCTCCGATTTAGATCAGTTCCAGATTAATCTGTGTATATATGATAATTAAAGAGTCAAATAATTGAATATTGTGAGTAAGAATGATCCGATGTATAGATGTATGCATTAGTTATCCACGTGACTACAATTATTGTCATTTGTTATGAAGTGAATACAATAATCACCTCTTTTTACAATTATATAATATCATTGCCTATATAATTATACAATGCGGATTGACTTCAGAGGTATAATTTACTTAATGGCATTTTACAATGAGTAAGTAAACAAACAGAGGCGAATAGATAGATAGGTGAGTAAATAAGTAAATAAATAAGTGATTTATTACAAGTTGATAAATAAATTGCATACAGCTTGTGTTTGTTTTCTTTTGACACAATTCCCTTTCCTGTTTTTGTTTTAATCTCAAAAAAAAGAAAAAAAATCATGTGAGAAATAGTTTTATTGGATGTTAAATATTTTCTCTGAATAAATAATTTTTCACCTCGAGAAACATGTTTAACGTAATAATAATAATAATAATAGCAATAGCGAAGATTTATAGTTCAGGTGGATGATTTTGATTTAGTTGTGTTCTCTGAGGAGATGGTTGACAATTTAATTGTGAAGCTTTCGTCGTCCACCTTGTAGACAACATCCCCTTTCAGCGGAGGTATTGTTATGGAATTAACTCATTTGAATTCTTCATGAATGATGTATTTGTATCTCCTGACAACCATCTTCGTGACTGGCAGTTGATTTACATTTCTAATGATCATATTTTTATTTACTTTTCAATTAGATCCTCATCTCTGGCTGTACTCTAATATGTATATGTAGCATTTTTATTACAATACACAACAGTTTACCAATCAAGTGACAGTGATATGTTTGTTAACAATAATTAAACAGTGTCAAAATGTCAATGGGTTGATAATTAAAGAAAAAAATCAATACACATTTAAAAGGTAGAAATGAATAGAATAAATTAATTTTACAAGGATAACACGTAATTAAAGATGAATTGTTTGTTAACAAACATATCGCCACTTGATTGGTAAACTGTTGTGTATTGTAGAAAAGATGCTATACGTGTATATTAGAGTAGAGCCAGAGATGAGGATCTAATTGAAAAGTAAATATTTCTTCGCTCAATCTTTCTGTCTTCTAAATGTCTAAATAAGGATTTTTTCCATATTTTTATTGACTTGGAATTTGAACTTTTTATCATATATAAAAAATATCTTTGAAATAATAGCTAAAATATTGAAACCGTTTGGAGTAGATAAAGCACACAAGCCAGCCAACACAATCAATTCATTCGATATTGTGCAAGCCGAAAGAACCATCCAACAGAAAAAGAAGATAAAATTAATACCATTTACAAAATAAACTGTATGAAATGTAACAGGCACTACATCGGTCAAAGTGGACGTCCTCATTTTGAACTTGAATCCAGGAACATAAATAGGCCGTAAAAAAACATGATATATATTCTTTCGTTTTGATGCATGTGGATAATTATGGACACCAACTTGATGATTGGGATAAGGTAGAAATTTTAAATAGAGGAAACACCAAAAATGCAGTCAGGGGATTTCTAGAAGCCTGGTTGGTACTCAAGTGAAGCAGCCAGCCATTAACAAACATATTAGTATAGACCAATTCTACAAACTAATAAAAAGTAAATCACGTGACGAGAAATTTCAAATTTCAGGTGAATAAAAATAATTGATAGAGATGTAAATGAACTACTACCAGTCACGGTAGTGGTCGCCAGGAGACACAATTATATCGCTCATGAAGATTTCAAATGTTTTCATTTTATACTAAAGCCTGCGCTGAAAGGGGATGTTATCCAGGAGGAGGACGATGAAAGCTTCACCATTAAATTACCAACCATCTTTTCAGCGAACACAACTAATTCAAAAACATGTTTATTACTTTGCTGGTGAACTGTTGAACTGAAAGATTTTTTCATATCAGATAGTAAACCGATCATAAAACTATGTACCACTGATGGATTGAGATGAGTTGTTGTTTACCGCTCATATCAACCAGTAGTTCTGGATAGCCTGATTAACGGGGTAACATGTAAACACCAGATGACCATTTTGTTTGCTTGTTGCAGAACTCGTCAGCAGTGTAAACGGTTTAACTCAGAGACTACATACTGTGATATGAAGGATTTGGTTGCCACATGAGACTGCGGTGAAATTTCACTGCCTAGAACTTGGTACATTGCAAATTACTAACTAGTTTGCAAATTATGAATTTCACTTATGCTACCATCAGCTCACCTAAGGCAGGTAGCCAGAAATCCGATAGTTGGAACTAATTCGACTCTCTGGGGTGAGTTTAACCGCCTAACGCTTTGATGCTCTGGTCTTCAAACAAGCGAAACGACTGTCTCGTGTTTAGATCACCTCAGTCTGGCTACCAAGTACTACTGCTCTATTTGAGTGGTACGCAACTACTCATCTCAACCCATCAGTAGTATATAATTATATGCAAATATTACTGCTTTATTGATTACCATTAAAATAGTTTACAGAGAAGCGACCTTGTGGGTTGCTCCCCTTAAAATCAGGAAAACAAGGAATAAAGCAAAAGGAAAATAATTCACAACAGGAAGGGCAGTGACAACGACAATAAAAAACTTTAGCAGTATTATCACAGTCAGAAATAGTTAACAAAGACGATATCAAAATCATAGACTCACTGACTTGAGGCCACTTAGAAATGTAAATCCATCAATATATACAGTTATAGATATTAGTTAGTGTTAGACAGTCACAAAATGGCTGGCAGATAGTTATAAGTGTTATTGGTCAACAAGATTATACCCACAGATTCAGTGTTCTAAAGGTAAATAATTACAATAAGTTCCACAACTTTTTTGCGAGAAATTCCACAGAAAAAAGAGTTTTATGTAACTGAGTAAATGTAGCGTGCTAATCGAAAGGAGCGTCAAGGTCACCTATGTCTGATTTCCAACAAACTGGAAGATATGCAGGTGAAAAGCAACAATTTGCTAGAAGAACCCTCAAAGATAGGACTTCAGGTGAACATAGAGAAAACAGAGGTGATGAAGATTCCTGAGCAACAACAACAGACACCAATCCGCATAAATGGTAGGAACCTGAAAGAAACAACCTCCTTCACCTAACTGAGAAGCATCGTTTCAACTACAGGTGGACGAAACTGTTGTGGATATCAAAGCAAGGATCGGGAAGCAAAGCAAGCTTTCCTTACTCTCAAGTCAGTGTAGAGGTCAACAGCAGTCAGCATGAAAAATAAGATTCTCAACTCGAATGTGAAGTCAGTGCTACTATACGATTGGATCAGAGACTTGGCGCGGCACGAGGGGCACTTCGAACAAACTACACACCTTCATCAACAGCTGTTTTCTCTCTGCACAACTCAAGATCAGATGGCCAGCCAGAAAAGATCAGCAACAGGGATCTCTGGGAGCAAATCAACCGGGAACCGATTGTGCAAGAAATAAGCAGGAAGAAATGGAGGTGGATTGGCCATACTCTGGGAAAACCATCAAGTGACATCACTAGACAAGTCCTCGAGTGGAACCCGGATGGGAACCGGCAAGTTGGTCGTCAGTACAAGTGTGACTTGGAGGAGATCATGTGAAGAGGAGATGAAAGCAAGTGCGCGGGCTTGGAGACAGGTGAGAACTTTAGCAGAGAACCGAACGCAATAGAGTCGTGCGGCTGAAGCCCTATGTTCCTCTAGGAATTAAAGGAAATAATTGATTACCATTTACGTTATCAAGCAGAACACACATTGTTATCGGAATAATTTAGTTTCCAAATGGGAACTGTGGGTGGTAATTTCACCTCTCGAACTGTGTACGATGCAAATTGGGAATTCGATTGATAGCAAACTGACGAGTTTTGTTTCTTCTTAACGAGTACATCTACCCAAAATCATTTAATTAAAGAAATTCATCAACACCACTTGTATTTAAGGCAAGCAGCATATGTTAATAAAGCAAGAAACATTGAATTCATCAAATTTAGATATACATATATATATATATATAGGGAGATGTACGATGGATAATAAACAATAATATTTTTTATTCTGGGCAGTATTTATAAAATGTACAGAATTTTGCATGATATTTTCCATTCTCATATTACCTTCATGTAAAATATTAATTAATTGATAGTATATTCTGTGACATACTGATCTCTGAGCTGAGGCACAAATCATTCAATTATGTTATTTCTGATTTGTCTACTACAAGAAATCCACGATATCTAGTTGAAAGCCAATTGTAATATACTAAGAAGTATGCTTCTCCTACCCTTTTGTGTGCTCATGTCTTAATGCATGAAGTGCAATCGCTGAGCTTTTTTCTAAATTACTTATCTTCGCGGATTTGATCACTGAATCCGTGTTCATAGAGTCTACACCCAACACGTGTGATAGGAATGACTCACCACCCATACAGGAAAATACTACTACCAATCAAATGAAGCGATGAAAAATAATGGAATTATATAAATGAGAATACCTTGATGTGATTATGAGCAGTAATTAATTGTGCTCGAAACATGGTCATCAGTAAATATTACTGCGTAACACTGTGAGACATTATCAAAATAAACTTTGGAAGTGATGTCCCGTCTGACATTTAAAATGGCATCGCTGAGGGCAAATTCAATTATATACAATTGCATTTGGGAGAAAATAATGGTATCTTTATTCTAGAGAGTATCTGTGAAATGTACACAATTTGTAGGGGAGTTTACTGCATGATATTTTCTCTTCGTATATTTTCTTCAAGTAAAATATTAATTGACAATATATCCTTCCTGCGATACAATGGTCTCTGAGCGGGTGCATAAAACATTCCACTATGATATGATATATCTGCTTTCTCTACTTCAAGAAATCTACGATATCCAGTCGAAAGCCAAATGTAAGATGTTCAGAAGTACATTTTGTGATCCAAGGACATAGTTGAAGAACAGTTATCTCATGTATTGGAACACGTCGCCACCCCCACAATCAAGTCATACGTCAAGTTTAGCAGGAACATGCGAATTGGCAGATTGTAAACATTTTAAATACACGCAAGAGTAGATAATATCAATAGAGGTCATGTCTTAGGCGATGAAAACAACCTAACGAGAGAGAAAATATACACAATAGAGAGATGGAAGTTTATGGAAGTAGCCTAAGTTTTATGCAGGCCGCCTCTATATTCAATGAATAAATAAACTACAATGAATCAATCATGTAAAAAGACAGGTGTGAATGTTTCACAGGTCAAGTCCAGGTAGTTAAGGGAAAAGGGGTGTTAAAGAATAAAATTAAGATAATAGTGCATTACCGTTCGGTTATGTTACTTGAATCAACAATCACTTATCAGATAGAGAACTTCAAAATGTCGAGAAGTGCCAGTTGAATAATGATAATAATAAAAATAATAATGGAAGGAGTTAAGATAATGGTACTGGCAACAGATAGTTTTGAATGACTCAAGAGTAATAATAAAAGATGAAATAAAATACTAATAAGGACATTCCATAAGTAAAAGATATTACCATGGTTTGATTGAAAGCAACCACCGTTTCCTTCTGTAAACAGAGACCAGATTAATAAACTCTAATTTTGCAAGCCTTCTCAAATGTAAGTGTCTTTCTAAATCCCATAGGAAAATTTAAAACAACACATTTAAGCGAACAATTCTGTTTCCTGCCTGAACATTTGTTTGTTTAATCACGCTATTTTTCATTTTATCCCACTTTATTTACCAATTTGAATGTACGTTTGACCACACATACATAGGGAGGATTCATCGATCTCTGCAAATGAGGGCTGTAGAGCATATTCCTAAATAGCTTTAGAAGCATACTGAATCTCCAGAAACCATTAGTGGTGAGAGCAAACGACCTAGCTCTTCTATTGAGAAACATACTATGGATACAGGACATGAAATTGACGTTAACAGATCTTTTAAACCTATCCATTTAAACGAATTTGGATTGAATCCTAAAGTTTGTGGAAGCCCTAGCTAGCAATTAGGAAGTTTAAATCACCTTTATGCGTTCAAAGCAACAATTCATCATCACGCTAAACCTGATTTGTTAAACTTTGTCTTGTTACGAGCAGGGGTAGATGTACTATTAGGTCTCTTATCTGGTTTAGTGATCTTCATTGTTATTTTGACCTTCAATATGTCATTTTAACTTGACCTTAGAATATCTTCTCACCCCTCAACTCTTTATTAATTTCATATTTACGCCTATGACAAGCCTGTGTATGATCAGATTGTTCGAAATGTGTGTTGCGCAAATACATTACAACACGATTCAGACAAATTACGTCTTCTTATTGCTTCGTCTAAACTTATAAGGCGAACTAACTGTTTTATATTTTAATATTTATTTGTAAAGTTAGGTATATTAGAGTTACGACTGATGAGATCTAATTGAAAGCATAGTATTGTTTGCTCGAATGTTTGTCTGCTGACAACAGTGAATCATTTGACAGGGTCAATATCATGCCTGAAATCTATATGATGCTTTGTTACTCGATGGGCTATTTGGTACCTCAACGTCAACTGTTGGCTTGAAGCAATTCGACTGGTTTCAAGTTTGATCATGGACTGACACCAGTTAGAAAAAATACGACGAAACAGCTAAAAAGCACTTCCTGGTTCCCACTGGTTCTCTGACTGACATCAACCTGTGATTAAACTTGAGATTTTGACTTATGGTTTTCCTCACCACAAAGGGCAAATGCTCTATCATTTGAGTAGATAATTGCCAATCCTTATGACTTATGTACTTTCTTCCACAAACACACTGAAATCGATATCCATAATATGAAGTGTCAAGAATAGGCGTCCGGTCATTCCCACATTGTTAAATTGATGATACAAGTTGACCAGTTTTCTTTCACGTACCAAGGGAATGTATGAGATCAACTGGGTTATTGGAACATAAAAATTTAGTTAGCCAGACCTAAAATAATTGATCCTTCTAAGTTAAATAACGTAGAAAAAAAGCTCAGCCAATGCACTGCATTCACTTGCATTCAATCACACAATAAGATGGGAGAGAGTGAAAGTATTAGGAAGTGATATTGTTAGGTGGAGAAAGGGGGGGTTAATCACTGAAGATTTGCTTATCAATTCAACACCACACACGTGCAATCGAAATGACACGATGCCCATACTGGAGATGTGGAAAGTGGCAACAAAGAATAAGGTGAGGATGGAGAGCGAGAAATAGACAGAAAATGTATTTAAGACAAATTGTGATGGTGTGTGACTAAATTGATGTGATTATGAATGGAGTTAGAATTCTTGCCAACCACTCATGTGGTCCGGAGTTCGAACCCCGGCCGCCGACTCACTCCTCTAACTTGCTAAGCCAGGAATAAGATTTTGTAAAGAGGCAACCCCATCTCGTAAAAATAAACACCACTGCTACCGAAACTTCAAGCCTCTAGCTTGGAGCTTCATGTTCCACTGGGAAAGTAAAGGAATAAAATTTAGAATTACATTCCACCTCGGTGCTCAAGTTCTACACTTACACATATAAATTTATGTATATTTATGTTTTCAATAACTTACAATTATTTAAAAGAATATATATATTTAATTTAAAGCCATTCTTACGGAAGAAAATTCTCATCTAACAATTTTTGCTTAATTTGCATTCCTTATGCTCTAAAAGAAACAACTACACATGAAGAAGAAACCGGTGGGAAAATGGAACGACGTTGTGACACTCTGAAGATGTGTATGTTAACAACTCTTCGTGAAGGTTTGCTAAATGGCGGAGGGATTGGTGAAGCACTGAGACGTCCAAGTAGTGAAGTGAGTGAATCTAATAATGAAAATGTGATTACTTTTTTATAGTTATAAAAGAAATCTTAGTGAAATCTTAGTCAGATTTATCGTTTTATTTTAAAATAGCATCAGTGTTTTTGGTGAGTAGTTATTTGGTTTCATGTCGCTGACTGACATAAGTGCTTGAAATGTACTTACATTAGGTTGAAAATCTTGCTTATCACATAGAAGTTATCCGGACACTCAATGATTTCTTACTCTGTTGGAGGTCAGTTTCATCACTGGCGGAAAGTTCTTCATTTATTACTTTTCGAGTGAGCTCTGAATTTCCAGGAGTGATGGTGTTCCAATATGATCTGTTCCGAATAACTGACTCCTGACTAACTAGCTAAAGGACTAAGTGACACTACTTTCATTGACAGCCTATGTCTAGATAGTGCATTTATGAATTCATTAATTTCATGAATGCATAACGTACGTACTACTGAATGGCTGAAATGAGTAGTCGGGTATCGCCCACATCATTCAGTAGTGCTTGCTAATCAACTAGATCGAAGCGATCTAAACACCAGATGGCCATTTTGCTTGTGGGGGTGGGGAAGGGGGCTCATCAGCCATGTACCCAGTTTAGCTCAGCCCAGAGAGCCAAATTAGTTGAAACTACCTAAATGTTGATGTTAAAATTGTGAACTTGATATAAGATACTGCCACTTCGCATAAACAGCTAGCCATACATGACACTTAGTAAATTAACTAGCTAATCGCAAACTTGGACTAATTTCACAAACCTAAAATTTAAGAATTAACCGTTACGACGATGCGTTTGTACTTTTGATTTTTAAAAGTATCGTTTAGATGGTTACAAAAATGATGTAAAATAGAAAAGCCATACATTCCAACTGTTATAGACATGTAACCTATTTGCAGTATTACTTTTATAAAATAAAACTGAAAGATTTCAATGTTACTTTTCCGTTTCAATCAATGACTTGGATAAAATTTCATAATTGCTTGACGATATTTCTATTTACTGGTCAAATAAGTGAAATCACTTTGGGAACCACTAAAAACCAGGATGCCCAACACGTTAGCCTCCTAATCTGAAGGTCCTAGGTTGATTCATGGGTACGTAATGCCAAAGAGTCGCGAAACAGGACGAAACAGCTTGGTAATACTCGTTGGTTTTTACAGTGGTTCTCTAAGTGACATTAATCCGATTTTTAACATGAAACCAACCAAATCTCTGCAAACGAAAACTTGAAAACATTGAATAATTGTTTTCAGATAGATTCTTGGATATAATTTTAGTGCCTGATTTAAAAAAGGATTCTGCTCGCATATTATATTGTGTGTTGATTTGTTGAATGTTGACTCAAATAGTGGTTGAATGAAAATGTGCATTTAGGCCGTTATAAGCTTCCCGGTTTATATTAGCGAAGAGTCTCAGTTCAGAAAGAAACAAATATTAAGTAGTTTTAGATTATTATTTTTTCCCTAACCATAGTTGGCTCATTCACGGGACTTAGCCGACAGAAATTTAAACGTAGAACTTTGCACAAGTGCATTGCATGCAGTGTTGAAAACACTTCATAAAATGAAATGTTGGAGTGCAGGAAAAAAAGAAAAAAATTCAAAAAATGATAATATTCAAGAGTGATTTTGCAGAAACTTGACTCGTTTCAATTTTCGCTACGTACTGACATCAGTTAGAGAACCACTGAAATCCAGAGAGTACCAGACAGCTGTTTCGTTTTAGTTTGGAACTCTCCATTAGAGCGCAGTCATGGCCCTGCGAGGGAACAAACCGAGGACATTCAGTCCACGAGGTTAAGGTCGTTGAACATTCAACCCTTCGGGATGGAATTCAATGGCCCTTTAATTCTAACTTTTGTCAGTTCACGATATACAGAGCAACCACCGGTCAAAGTCATCAGCAATTCTCACACTCAACTTGTTGAAGCCCAGTGGGCACAACTTCTCCCCAGAACTCATAGGAACGTCATCCTCTGGCTGGTCACGAATAAGCAACAGAATAATTTGTGAAAAATCTATAAATTAACTCTTGAAAATTATTCTGATACTCACTATTGACTGACCAAAAGACGAAGTTGGATGGAATTCTCTTAAGAAGTTGTGACTAGTGGGCTCCACAAGGTTGGTCATACGGAAGAATACTCGTTGATGACACTGATAGCTATTTGTACTGTATGTCACAAATCGACAAAAGTTAAATTTCATGAGTCATTGAGTTCTGTCTCAGTGACTCAATGGTATACAATGTCGTCATGTAACCTGAAATCGTGGGTTGGATACCTGGTTTTTTATATTCTACATACTGCTGATAAGTTCCATTATAGGGTGAAACAGCTCAAAGGTACTCTATAGCTTTTGACGATTCTCTAACCCACATCAATGCAGTACCAAACTTGAAATTGTAATATATGAAAGAAAGGTTGTAAGAAGACCAGCAGCTGCGGTTTGTGTTTATTGGCACTTGTTAGCAAGGCTCTACTTCAACGCGGGAAGAACAGATATCTCTTCGGAGCTTCGAACCTGTGTCTTCCACTGCCTCAATTAGTGATGTTGCCATTAAGTTGTTCGGTAGGACTTTATTGGGATCATTGATTAATCATTAGGGAAAAACTAATGTCATGTGTCTGGTCTTTGATGCTAGTGAAGAATGAACTCTCTCTCTTAGTAAAGTCTGTAGCGCAAGCACAAGTTAAAGTAACTGGCGATCGCAGTGCACACTAAACAGATGGTGGACAATCGGCACGAAGCTTATTACATAATAACAATAATAATAATAATTTACTTTATTCCAAAAACAGTACTTATAATACAGAATGGAATTCTCAGCATTTGTCACAATATTGCATCTGATATACCCAAAATATATATAAAATTAAAAATTAAAACAAAATTAATCGGAGGAATTTGTCCACATTTACGACATAATAATAACAGTGAGTTTGTTTCAAACGGTATTGTCGACTCAGTTTGGGAACTTTAGCAGGTTATAGATTATTGGGTCTAATGTTCTGTTGACATAGTATAGTGAGAGGAAGTACAAAATTAACAGTCATAATACAGCTTAAAATTATGTCCACACTTATGAAAAAAAATAAACAAAACAAAAAAATGGAGAGGATTATAAATATAAGAAATACAATAACAATAAAGTATGATGCTTTAAGGGTAAAGGAAATGGTTTATTCAGTAGTGCAAAGAAGGTTAGTTAGTTCATGTCTGACACTATTTTCATCACATAAAGTACGTGCTAGATATGGTATAGTGGAATTTTTATACTTAGACGTACGTGCATAAAGTCTTCTGAAAAGACTTCTTGTTTTACCTGAGGAGACACAAGGTTAGGGTAAAGTGGGTGCTCAGAGTCTGACAAAATTCCTTTAGCGTATTTGTTGCATGACATCCAGTGCCTATCAATGACAATGTCAAGGATATGGCCCAATGGGATACCACTCGTCCTACTGACAGTCTTCAGAGTTCTACGAAGTATGATATAGTCCTTTTTAAGCAATCCAGGAAAGAATAAGAGTGAACAGTAAAGAAGAATAGGTAAAGTACACGAGTTGATAAACTAAGAGGAGTGGTTGAGTTATGCCTGAATGCCTTAACTTCTTAATGTAAAAATTCAGACGAAATATTCTTTTAGAAATCGCTAAGATATGAGAGGACCAGGATGGGTCAGAAGAGAGAATTAAACCAAGATACTTAACTTCAGACTTGGTTTCTATATCATTATCATCGATTTTGCAAGTGTCATAGGAACCAACGGCTTCATTTAACTTTCGTTTACATTGGAAACTGAAATTAACAGTCTGACATTTGGAAGGATTAAGTTGAAAGCCGTTAGACGAAGACCATTTGCTAATTCCTGATAGAAATTTTTTCATCTTAATGCAGTCAAGCTGAGAGTTAACAGACATTGAAATAGTTAGATCATCGGCATACTCAACAAAGTTGATTTCATCGGAGTAATGCAAGTCATGCAAGTGAAGGTTGAAGATTAAGTAAGAGCAACTTTTCCATAACTTTCAGAAAAGGGGAAGTAATAGAAATGGGTCTCAATTTAAAACATGTCGCAGTAGACGACTTAGGAATAGGAATAATGAAAATCTAATAGTTCTTGCAGATCACAAATGAGTGAGAGCGACTGTAATTTATATGAAAAACAGTCTGGAAGCATTGGTTCATAGTGTTTCACGGACCCCAACAAGGCACTTCACTTCCTTAAATGGCCCGCCTAAATGAAGAGTTGAAGCATTCCTTAAATGTTGTCATATTTTGTAATCTACCTAGAAATCATTCGGAATCCTCATAAGCCAAAATATATATATGAATAACACCAATAATTGAAATTCATGTTCAATATTCAGGGCATATTATATATTTTAAATGTTAGAATTTTGTTGTTGTCGTTGTTGAAAAGTTTGATGACTGAAAGAAATTCAAAGCAGAAGAAGGAAAAGAAGACGAAGAATAAACATTACATGAACTGCTGTTCAATTCAATGCAATGACAAGTTAATATTGTTTAAAATAGAATAAACAATGGTAGGAGAGAATGACAAAATATTGTATAGATAGATAGATATACAGTATATATGTCAAATGTAAGATAATATGAATAACAAATCAAGTTTCATAGTGTTATCATTACTACTTACGCTTTCCGTTTCTTTCTTTTAAACTTTTTGCTTCCTTCCTCCCTTATCAGTAGTGATCGGCATCCCATCAACAATCGTTAGTATGCTTATATATTTTCTGGTTAATAAATGTAACCGCGTTTGTTTAAATGTCAATACCTGACAACAGAGATAATAAATGAGTGTGAGAAAAATAAAAAAATCGAAAAATAAAACAAAGAATGAAAGTCTTGCCAAACAACTCCACGCATTCAAAATACTGATTCCTCTTCACAATTCATCTACACAATGTTTGTAGGAAAGCTCGCTAGAAGGTGAGAAGTTGTGACCAGTGGGGTTCACCTAGTCGGATGTGAGG